GAAGAAGAAGAAGAAGAAGAAGAAGAAGAAGAAGAAGAAGAAGAAGAAGAAGAAGAAAAGATCATCTGTATCCATTCTGCCTCTTCTCAACGACCAAATCGAACCAGTCATATTTCTGACTTTTTATTTTCCTGCAACTCATCGAACTCGTGCAGGTTTCATGTATACCTATCGAATATACATATTTTTTATTTAACATGGAGTAAAAATACCCTCACCCGAGTCTTGGCTCTAGTTAACATAACAATGTAACAAAAAAATTGAAAGAAAGATACGGTTCACTTAACGAGACTAGATATTGTAGCAATCATCACATGCCGAGTATTCGAACTCTTTTTTCAAGCCGACGATATAGTATGATGATACATCTACACTTTGCTTCACTATCTCCTTGATTTTATCTACTTCCCATCTCACATCTCATTTGGCACTACATATCATATCCACATGTCACCTTCTCACCTCTCTTCCAATACCCTCTACAACTCGTCCTTCTCCCTCACCTCCTCACCACTCAAATCCGGCATCGCCATAATCTTCACCACCAAGCTCGTCCACCCGGTAAAGTGCTGCGTCCGCTGACCCTTCCCAGTCTCAGGGTTATACTGCTCCCATGCGAAGCCAGTCTCCTTCCAGCTCTCATACACCGTCTTGACTAGGTTCTTGCGAAGCTCAGTGTAAATCTTCGTGGCGCGCGCACGGTAGGGCCCGGGGGATTGTGCGAGTTTCTGTAAAAAAACATGTTAGTAAAAAAAAAAGGTATAATATGGGAGATTCTTGACAAGAGACTTACAAGAAGCTGAGTTACAGCTAGGTAGTTGATTGGCATCCAAACTGGTCCCCTCCAGTAATCTTCTGCAGTATGGTAGAACTCGTCGCTCTTACTCAAACTGCGGATACCGTATGGACTCCAGAGCTCTTCCTCATCCTCAATCAGATCAAGGATTGCACCGAGCTTCTTGCTGTCCTTGTCTATCAAGCCTGTTATGAAGGGAAATAGAGAAATGTATCCCTTGTGGCAAACCAGCGCGTTCTCTTCATAGTCATCAATAGTGGCGTCACAGTACGTTTGGTCTTTCTCGGACCAGTGCAGGTCGTCAATGTTCCGGGTGATGGCTTCGTCGTAACGAGCAAACTCGGCTGCATCGTCTTCTTCATTGAGGTAGATTGCGATGCGCTTGATGGCGCGTGTCATCATACCCATCCAGCTGATGAGGTCGACGTGTAGCTCGCCAGGGTGTGGTGGCTGAACGCGCGGGTAGTCGTCAAGGCCAGAGGTAAGGATGTGCGTTGGAGTACGTCCACGCCAGCGGTAGCCCTCTTTCGAAGAAAAGGCCTGACGTTCATAACTCTTGATGTCGCCAGCCTGCGTCTTGCGGTACCAGAAGTAATTGCGCTTCAACAGTGGATAGAGAGTGCGGAGATATTCGAGTGCTGCCTCACGGTTTGACAGTTGCATTGAGTAGGACTTTTCTTGGCGAAGCTTTTCGCTGCTAGTGTCCGTCTTTATCGCATCCAGCTGGTCGAGGAAAGAAGTGATGACCATGAAGAGCGTCGGTGGGTTCGCGTAGTGAGGGTACTGTACCTGGAACTCTTCAGGTACCTTGCTGCGGGCTTCGGGACCGAGAATCTGCTCACGGGCGATCCAGCCATCTTCATCCATGAGCTTGAACCAACTTTTGATTATGTCAAGGGTAAGGTCAGCATCCCAGTCAATGACGGGTAACAGATGGAAACCTTCATCCCAAAGGAAGCCACGTGGAAAGAACGGCCGAGATGGAATTGCAGTGAACAGCTCCGAAGGGCCCTCGAGCTGGGCAACGTTCCTGCTTCGTGCCTCGGCAGCCTCCTCCCAAAACCCTTCACTGTCCTCTTCATAAGCAGGATCGTAAGAGCGGTCGACACGAGAGTCTCCAAAGAAGTAGCCGATACCGCCGATCAGGTTCGAGAACAGCGACTTCGAGAACTCCTCGTAGCGCTCTTTGAGAAAGGGAGCTTGTGGTTCGAAGATTTTGGTGAAGCGAGACGAGAAGCTTGACGTGACCGAGTCAATCTGCTGGGTCATGTCTTGCGAGGTAACCTTTTCAGGAGCAGACCCCGATGAGAAGATGACATCGAACTCGAATGGCCCTTCAAAGACCTTTTGAACAATGTGCATGTTTCCTTGGCCAGGCAAATGCTGAATGGTGTAAACCTGGGCAGGCGGTGGGGGGTTTTGCTCGTCGTACTTTGGGATCAAGACATCGATCTGACCCTTCATGTGTGCGAACAGAATGGCCTTGACCTGCCATAGCGCCTCATCTGGTATTTGTCCGCTATGGACTAGTGTTCTGTCCAAAGGCTTATCGTCCCAGCTCGGATGACCAGTGACGGGGTGCTCGCCTTTGCCTTCCGTGACCCTGACTTCAAAGTCACCAAGCTCAGTCGTCTGTCCCTTCAAGACAACATCTCCTTTGACGCCCGGCTCTTCCGTGTCAGCATCTGCGACTTCCAAGCTACCCAGACCTTCGAGCGTGTTGTACCAGATGACCGTCGTACGAAGATTCGGGCTGGCGTCTTCTCGCGGCGTTCCCTTAATTCTCGCGCCCCAGCTGCCGCCGTGTTCTCCACCTGGGAACTTGATAAACTCGGTGGTGATGTCGATTTTGTTCGCAGGATCGTGGATTGTTTGCCGGCCGCCGCTACGAACATCATACTCGTCCCAGCCGTAGCCATCGAGCTCGTGCTGCTCGCATGTATGTCGGAAATCTATCGAGTCAGCAATTGGTCTTGTTGGAGCTAGCTATGTGAAGGTGACTAGATGCTTCCTGTCTTGTTCCCATCCATTCACACAATTAGCAGTGGTACTTACTATTCTGCACACTTTGGTAATCCTCCACTCGGGTCCACATTAACCCGCCCATTAGGCTCTTAGGAATGCGTGGCCTGACGCCAAAGTACAAGTTTGGGCGATAGGGTCCCCAGAGCAAGCTGGCATTGGTAGCCTTCTCTACCTCTGCCAACTGCGCGCCCACGATGGGCAATTGGAGTGCAAAAAGACATGCCAGCCCCTTCCAGAGGGTACCATGTCTACTGTCGCGCGTCATTGTGGTGTGTGAAGCTGGAGCTCCGGACCTTGAAGCTTGCGGGGTTTGGGACACATCTCGCTCAGACAGCCACGGCCGCGGCCGCAATCGCTCCTGATTGGATGACTGCAAGTGCTTCTTCTCCACATATTGTGCGAAGCATATGTACTTGCCCAGACTCGACGGCACAATAGTAAACCAAGCACGAGTTTCAGCCGAACAAGTCCTACCTAGCATTGTTGCCTGTTGCAACCTATTTCCTGGCACGCTTCACGGAGCAAGCAGAGCGACTGATCTAGTCATCGGTAAGAGTAGTTGATTTAGCATTCTAAGAGCAGCATTCGCCTGACAAGACGAATGCAATTACACTTTGCCAGCCTGCTCACAGTAACAAGTTTTGTGTTGACACACGTTCCTTCTGTTCCGGTCAGACTCAAAAAGAACCGAGGATGGTAAAACATGAAGGCGTCATACCGTGAGCTGCTCCTTCACTAAATGCACGTAACCCAACGGCTTGTCGTGGCATTTCATGACTATGTCCTCCATGGTTAGGTTTTCGCCTTGTGCCGAGTATCCCAAAAGACTGCCATGACTGCATGATATCACGCTGGCCATGCTTCAAACTCAAGTCTTCAAAAGCATCGTCGTGATCCTAGCTATTGATGTGAGACCTTGTAGCACATCTTCACCCGTCTCATTATGACCTGCTCGGCGACAACGGCCTGTTGAATCCACCCTGGCGGTTCATGTACTGTCTGGCCTGGAGCTGCTTGTCCTTTCTGACCCCATAGTTTTTATCGTTCCCTGGTACTTTGGTATTCTTTGTGCTCTTGAATCCCCCAAAGCCCATGACCTTTAGCATCTCCCATTCGTCGTCGTCCATGTCTTCTGGTTTCTGCCTCTCGTCCTTCATCTCGACATCGGGTGTCTCTTCTTTGACAGCGTCGGCTGAGCGGGGACCAGTTGGAGGCTTTGCAGAGCCGCCAAATGGGCCGCGAGCACTACCGCGTGGCCCTTTTGGTGGTTGTGGTGAGCGGTCGCGGAAGCTGGGGCGGTCGTCCCTACCTCCTCTCCTGTCGTCGCGCCCTCGTCCGCGATCATGACCAGCTCCAGGCCTGGCTCGGTCACCGCCCCTCCCGGCTCCATCGCGCTCATCTTTCCGGTATGGCGATCGTGAACGGTATCGGGTGTCGCATCGGCTGCCGCGGTCTCGGGGACTGCGCGAACGGTTGCGCCGTTCTGTGGGTGTACCGCCTCGCTCACGGCCTTCACGTGGTTCGCGACGGCTGTCTCGCTCGCGGAAGCGGTCGCGCGGTCGCTCGTTATCTGACATTGCTATCTTGTATGGAGCTGTGTGTGGGGTTGGGGAGCGACTGTCGCGACGAGCAGATCAAACCGTTGGCTGGGTTCGGTTGCCAAGACCGTCGCCATTCAGCCCTACCAAATTTGGTGATACATATCATGGTGCAGCGAAGTAGCATTTGGGAACAAAAATCGGAAAATATCAAAATTATTGTTTTTAAGATCATCCAATTATTTTGAGAAACATGTGAACAAAAATGTTTGCAGAGCTATGCTGAAGTGCCAAGATCGTACACGTGACTTGCGCAACTTGGGCAAAAAGATAAAGTTGCAAAACTTCGGAGCAAAAACATACGACAGCGGGGATTCGCTAGTGGTCACCCACCTAACTACTAATCCGCCGGTAAACTGCTTGTATAGGGCAGATCGGACGGGATGCCTAATTCTCAGTTTCCAATGGTCGTATGTACCAGAGTAGTAAAAATTTGTCTATCATATCTCAAAAATAAATTGAAAAAAGGAAAATACAGACGGCTGGTTGTTCGAGAGGGCTCACGTGATGATATCGATATCCCAAAGCTTGGCACTATCACATGGAGAGAACATGACCTCTTCACCTCCCCTTTCGCACACCGCACAGAGAGAGTAAAAACTTAACTGTATCTCTATTTGATATAGTTGCGAGAAATTGACTCTGCGCCTACACCCTTACATACATAGCACTACGCGCCAACAGACTCATTCATGTCACTCTCACATTCTCTAGCTCCTTAAGCTACTACCACCTCTACACGGCATGCGAATGGGTGTAAAGATGGTGTTTAATGAGCCTTCTCGAACAACCAGCCCTAGCTAACGTCTGTAGTTTTTCCTTTTTTCAATTTGTTTCTGAGATATCATAGACGAATTTTGACTACTTTGGTACATACGACTAAAGTAGTTACCCGGTTGTATAACAGCTGTTCTGTGAAGGGTGCTGCGGGGCATGAGGTGCTTGTTGGTACAGTCCCATGCAACCATGTTTTGATTTGTACCAATAGTATCCGTCTCGAATATTCGACAAAAAAGCTTTCCAACGGCCCTGGCCAAGCTATGATGGTCTACTCTGTGTTAATGTTTCTAGGCGACTACACACTAACCATGGACTGCAAGCGGGACGGAGATCGCGTGACCCATAACCCTCTGCTTCGTGCCTTCCACTTTCTCTAATCATCGAAAAAGCTAACGACACACCTACCACATCGTCCCCGAGCCTCGTCTCTATGAGCATCTTTGCGTCGCATCAACAACATTACTCTACAAACCCGCCTAAGCCTTTTTGTATATCTTCCACTTCCCAAGATGACCGAACTCAGCAATACCTCGCCAGTTGCACATAAAATTTCCCTGCTCCTGCATACAGCGGTCGAATTCGGTATCAACCCAGGCATCAGTATCGGTATAATTCAAAGTACGGCGCCAGGTGTGGGTCTGTCCTTCACTCTACCAACAGAGGAGCAAGCACACGGCATCGAGTGTGGCCAGGCCAGAGCCAAGAACCTCAAAACGCGCGAAAGAGCTCATATGTTCGCGCTCATACTTGCCATGGGGCTAGCGCGCAGTACAATCAGGCGAAAGTGCACTGCCGCACGCATCAAGGTGCAGAGTGTCACGGTGCTTTGTAGTTTGCCTGAGGTGGTTGAACTGATCGAATATCACCAAGCTCACGGCCCTAAGAGTCTCGGATCCGTGGTCAGCAAGGAGGACCGCTCGACGATCAGGAGAGTCCTGGCGAATGTAAGACGACTGGCGAGATACGATGTTCAAGTCTCAATCATGGAAGATGGGACAGAAGGCGATACTGTGAAAGCAACAAGAGTAAAGATAATTGCCAGCCATGGGAAGAAGTGGCCGCTTCTTCGCCGTCGCCATGAACGACGAATCATGTCAAATGCCAAGATGGCGGGCGATGAGGAAGAAGATGGAGGAAGCGACGAGGAGGGGAATGGAGCGGACGATGGGAAGAAAGGAGAAACAACAGCTTATATTTGGGACATATAATAGAAAGATAATTGTCAAGTGTGTTCATGATGGACGAGATAGGTGAGCCTGAATCGCATTGAGGTCGAATAAACACTCTTCATTTAATTACCCGGGCTCTAAAGCAGCTGATGCAAAGCGAGCAGAACCAGGCATTCCAATCTCCACACCTCCAAAACCTCCAAACCTCGCCATGTATATGTGTATCCAACACGGGCAAATTCGGGCCTTGTACAAGACTGAGATCATGTAGAATGCATAAAGATACCCGCGTAGCGATTGTAAGACAATAAGAAAATACGGGCCGAGCCAGAGACGGAACGGGACAAGGCGAGGTAGCATGAGGTCTTGTCGGCAGGATAATCGTTCGGCTCGAGCAATGATGAGCAACTGCCAGTTCAAATGCGCGGTGTGGGAATTGGAAAGACCTGTGAGACGCGCGAAAGTTGCCTTTCGTCAGCAAGTTCCTGGTGAGTGCGGGAAGAGGAAGGCTGAGCCAAAACCCCCGACCAGTCCAACTCCGGCCCCCTCCGGTTGCTGAGGAGTCAAACCTCCGCGAAGTAGTACCTTCCCAAATCGCTGGCCCGGCTGCTCCCCTTCAGTTCAAGATACACGCGCTAGGCGGTAGGACTAGTCTCACCTGCTAGAGCCCAGAAGGTACGCTGTCACGAAAGTGCACTCTGTTAGTGTAATTGAGTGACTGGACAGAGGATGGTTTTGGTCTGAGTCAGACGGTGGTATGGGCATCAAAGGGGGAGGTATGGGAGATATAGGATTGGTGTGCATGCCGATATAGAGAGAGAGAGCGAACAACGGTGATGTACGTCGATTTTACCGAGTGTCCGGCGGTATGGTGGCCGTATTAGAAAGAAAGGGGGTAGTGAAGAGATCAAGGTGATCAAGAAGGAAAACGCCATGGCTTATGAGCTGAAAATAAAGGTTGCATTGTACTGAATGAGTGCAAATATCGGTGGATCATGATGTGAAGAAGAGATGGATGATTGCAAGCAGTAGGCAGACTTTATACAGACCACAACAGTAGGACCACTAGTGCAGGAGAAGGCCACAGGTTCAACCTGAGCAGTAACAGTGGTTGTCATAGGAAGCAACGTCCAAATCAGTAAGAAGAGAAGAGGTCGACAACCTAAAACCAGGAAGGGAGTCAACAATGCATCAAGGAGGTGCAGGGAGCTAACTGCGTATCAAATCCAAACGAGCGGTCACTACTCAAAAGCAGCAATACATCGGCAAGTAGCCACATTTTGCGCTTCTCATGTACAAAATCCCACCTTCGACGAACAAACGATCGTCTATAGCCAAGTGGTACCTCTCTTCTATTCCATAACGCCATACCATGCAGGGTATCTGATATGTTCTCCTAAAACGCATGACCAGCAGCATTCAAAATAAACCAAGGCCAAGCTGCTTAAATCTCATCTTCCTCCTCGTCAAAGTCATCCTCAGAGCCCATATCGTATAGAATACGACCGCCCTCACCACCCTCACCCTTCTGAGCATCAAAGTATGGAAGGACAATGCCTTCGCGTGCCTGCTTCTGCTTGTCGGTAAGGCCGAGGTTAAACGTCGATTCCATCTCATTGTCAGCGGCCTTTGCAAACCCTTTCGTGTCCTGGCTCGTGTACGCAGGAAGCTGATCAAGTAGAATAACAAATTCTTGCTTCAGTGTACCAAAAGGCGAACCGCCGACGGGAGCTTGATAATCCGAGCGATGGCCAGGTCGAAGAAAATAAGTCTCGCCCTCAGCACGGCCAGATTTGCGTCGGAATTCAGCCTCGAGGACGATGCCACGACGATCATTGGCGTCGAGGCATTGGACGACGCCTTCGGCTTCCTGGAGCAAACCGTGGGTAGGCTCAGGCAAACTGCGCTCTCTGGCTGCCTTGGCGGCAAGACAGTGAGCTAAAGATTTGCAGGTAATGACCGAAGTCGCCATATAAGTTACCAGGTCAAGTGCCTGCGGAGCATACGGAGTCTCTGGTCGTACGTTATGGCCAGGTAGCATGTCTTGATGATAGACGCCGACAAGGGTGGACGCGAACTCGCCAGCGACCATATTGAAGAGCCTGCCCATACCGATGCCCTTCTCATTGAGCGCATCGTATAGAGAGTCGATGATGACGAGGCTGTCTTTTGTACCACTCAGGGCCTTGCGCAATCCATGCATGATGTCCTCCCCAGTGGCGCCAAACCCAGTGACGGTGCAGATAGCTGACATGAAATGTGATGATTCAAAAGCAACGACAACAACATTGACGTTCCGAGCTATCGCGCGTCGCATCATCTCAGTTAGAAAAGGATGTGCCCGCTGGTTAAGGTCATCCAGGACGAGTGTAAAGGGTGAGGTATTGGCGCGGACGTTGAGAACCTTAGACATGAGATGGACTGAATGGCGCTGGTACTGCGCGAGGGATGCAGATCGACTCATCTTGAGTTTGGAGCACCTGAGAGGAAGTTTGGAATTTCTTCAACAGATTGGATGAAGCCCTATAGAGAATTTGTGATGCTGACAAGTTCGCCAGGGTGTTCAAGAAGCTTAGCCGGACGCTGTACTATTATTGGCAGATGATTGTTAGGAGAACCTGTTTCCCTCTGAAGGACTGTACGCTGACCAATGTTAGCTGAAACGATGAAGTCCATTGACTCTAAACATTCTTGTAGTGTAACTGATGATTTGACATGACAAAGAACAATGTCACCGCACGTGAAATTGCAAGGGGCTGGGAGGTGTGTCGGTGTCGTATGATTTTTTGGGAAAATACTGAGTACTATGGGATGACAGGAAGCCTGAGGAGACTCGGGAAAAAAGCGTACCTGCAGTGAATGGGGAAGGCAGCCGGATGTGCGGAGTTAATTTGGCAATTTAGGTTTGCCAAGACCAGCTGGTAAAGTCAGGCTCTATATAATTGAGACCCGTTGAATCGCAACTGTTACAGTTTACTGAATGAGTCGTCGATTTCTGAGGTAGCATTGTAAAATCACGACAGACAGTTGCAATAGTGGGGTTGTGCAGTGAATAGTCCAAGTCATTTTCGTGCGCGCTAGTGCATTTTGCGACTAGCACCAGCCTTTTGTGGAGTTAGGCAGTTGCACTGCCGTCCCCACTTTCCCAGGCGGAACGCATTGCTCAGACGTCCGGGGTACAAATGGACATTGCAGCCGACTAGCGACATGAAGTATTCCTCAGAAGTGGTGATCCCGATATGACGAGCAACGCCCCATCCTCATCGTCAAAGCCTCCACGGCCCAAGTCACCACACTTTCCTCCACACAACGCTCCACGCGTCTGGTTTATCACGAGAGGAGTATCGCCAATCGCTATCGCATTAGCGAGACAGGTACTGGAGCATGGTGACTATGTCGTGACTGGCGTGATGCCTGTTGAGTTTGAGAAAAGAGAGGGACAAGTAGACGATTTTCGGACGTTTTTGCAAGATGTGAAGCAAACAGACAGATGGCGCGAGCATCTGAGGGTTGTGGCATTGGACAGTAGGTAAGTATTCGCAAATCGCGTCAAGGCTATTATTGTGCTGATTGCATCGCGTACAAAGGGTCGTTGGCCAATGCCAGGCCGCGGTTGCTGAGGCTGTGGAAGCATTTGGGCGAATCGATGTTCTACTGTGCGCCGCGAGCGAAGGTAGGCCGTCTTTGCGTGGAAGGAAAAATTGGACTGACCACCGATCTCGAGGGTAGCTGTCATAGGTACAGTTGAAGAGCTGGCCCAGAGCACCCGAACAATAAGTCTAGTTGACGAAATCTTCGAGATCAACTTTTTCGCAAACGTTAATATCATCAAAGCCGTACTTCCCATCATGCGAGAAAGGAAGAACGGTCATATCATTGTGATAACTGGCATCAGTAGGTTCTCTCTACAGCTCGTTTCGGCTTGGACGTATTCTGACCATCAACAGCCGGTCATCTGGGCACACCAGGCCTGGGAATGTACTGCTCTTCTCAATGGGCCATTGAAGGCTACTGTGACGTGAGTATTTAACAATGAATCGTGCCGTCAAATTTACTGAAAATTGTTCCCTAGAGTCTCGCCTACGAAATCGCTCCCTTCAACGTAAAGATGTCACTAGTTCAAGCAAATATGGAGGTAAACGTGCTCACAAATCGCATCACATCCGTCCCTCCTATGCCAGAGTACCTCCAAGGCGAAAACCCCGCGCCTTTGGCTCGGGAAATCTTCTCAGGTCTCCTAGACAAGCTAGAACGTATCGACAACCCTTCTGCTCACCCCCCTCACAACTTTGACGAAACGAAATCTCCTGGCGAAGACAGCAACATGTCCGAGGCTGAACAGGACGCAGACCCGACAATGGGCGATTTACTCAATTCTAATACAGTGACAAGCTTGTACGCGCCATTACCCGCAGCAGTAAAAGGCAGTTTGATTGCAGAAACGGTACACGCATTGACTGCGATCGGGGGTCATGACAACCCTCCTGCGCGCCATATAGTAGGCATCGAGGGAGTTACAGCTGTTAAGGAGAAGCTCAAGACCACGAGCGAAGAGTTGGAAGACTTTGTTCAAGTTAGTGGCGCGGTGGATATTGGGCATCGAGACTACGAGGGGACTGTAATGTCTATGGACCAAGGCATACTATGAATGGTTGTTGGCATTACTGATTGTTGGTTAGACGGTATTGGGCGATTTACGTTTGTGGCAAACATCGCCGATATTTGGCTGTAGCACATCTGCGCGTCACTTTGCATCTTATTGCATCAATATGTATTAAACTATATACTTTGTATGGTGGTATATTCAGTCGCGTTGTTCTATAATCAGAGAAGTCAAGTCGTTGCACCTGCCATCCATCAACGTGGCAGTTCCATTGGGTTGCTCTCTCAGCTCCCCGCCATACATCGGCTATGGGGCTATTCTCGCGGGAGCACCTTTCCTGCGTAACCTCCTAAACAATGACCTCCACCCTAAATAGCCCTTTCCTTCTTCCTTCTCCATACCATCCACAAGGTGTTCCCTCGCATCCACGTACCACACTCGCCAGACAACCACGACTATAAAAGTCAAGGGAACTGCAATGACTGGAGATGTGTTAGATCGGCTTCACTCGAGGCACCATTCACTTGTTTGCACTTACCCCACATGAGCCAAAAGTCTTGTGACACTGTAATATGGTGAGGGTACTCTTCCTGCAGTTGCATGAACTGACTGCCAAAGATAGATGCGACTGTACCCAGAGGCATAAAGAGAAGCGTCGTGACAGCAATCGTCTTCATGCTCTGGTTTTCAGACTGCATTACTTTACTGTCACCCTGTGTGACCACATTGAAAGACAGCTGGATAATGTTGGAGATGCGTGCATCAAGACTCGTAAGTCGCCGCTGTGTAGACTCAAAAAGGGTCTTGCGGTACTCTAATGCTTGGCGGGTGAACCTTTGGTGGAAGCTGGGGGTTTTACCGGTCACACTCTCATGGTGGTCATAGAGGCCTTGGAGGGTAGCCAGGGCAGCCTCACAGTTCTCGCGCAAGTATATTGTATGCTTTGCGAGATTGTGAAGCCCGGTAAAATGGTCCTTGAGAGAGTCTTTTGTTGCTTTTCCAGGATTTCTCGCCATTTCCAGTGCTTGCTGATGACGTATTAGCAGCTATCTTTATGACATAGAAGGTGACATACCGTCTCCATCGATCCGAAAATGTCTCCTAGGTTCCACCCTGTCCAGTCCAGGACTTTGTACATTTCTTCGAATGCTACCTCCAGCAAGGCATATGGATCTCGGATCAGATCCTCACACTTTGCCGTGTCTATCAAGGCACGAAAGCGGTTCTGAAACGAAGCTGGAACTCCAAAACAAAACAACTCAACCACAGGCGGAGCTGTGGTTGGTGATAAGGTATCGCCGCTACCTGAGCTGAATGTACGCGCAGCCTTTGGAGGTGTGCCGTTCTGCTCTCGGATTTTGAGTACGAACCCCGGTTTTATCCAGGAGAAATTTGCCTGAGGTTGACTTTGCGCCGTCTGACGCATTTTTAGTCCGCTAGTGTCTTCGTCTTCACCGCCGAGATGGACAATCTTTTTGTCGACTATTGCGAGAGTTTTGCACAAGAAATGGAACCACACAAACGTTGTTCCATCTACATCTTCACGAGCCGCGAACGACTGTGAGACACCTTGCAAGCCTTCATCGACAAACGCGCTTGGGATTCCCCATTCTTCAAGAAACTCAAGTAGACTCTCGCCGTAGTTTCCCGTAGGTTTATCTGGGGGTCCGAATCTATTTCAGTCAATCGTTGTCGGGAATCTTGCTATGTATAATACTCACATTACCCGGACGGCCCCTTTGCTCTGCGCTTCGAGCGCTTCGATAGACTGGACACCACTGATCTCCTTACCCTGGACAGCTGAGTCTAACCATTCAAAGACATGTAGATTCACAACTCCATATGACTTTTCTTTCCTGGATTCCGCACTGTTTCGCGACTTGGTTCTGAACTCATGAAAAGGTCTGCGATCTGCAGTCAAGCTCCGAAATGATGCCATATTTTACTACTTGCACAGGAGGCTGAACACACTCGACTAATAAGTAATAACATTATGGTACGAAGACCCCAAGGCGGCGATAGTACTTGTGAGCTGATCGGTTAGTCACACTTTACTCGTGGCTCTACCCGTGGCACATTTGGAAACGACACTATGCAAAGCCCCTGCAGCCATCCTGCAGCCATCGCCTGCAGCAAGCCCCCTCCCACCTGCAGGCGGCCTCTTGGGGGCCAAAACTACAGTGCAAAATTCATCCAGGAGCTGGACGGAAAAGCAATAGTATGTCCAGACCTCTCAGAAGATAGCGAAGCTAGCGCCAAACAAAATTGGTGGCGCTAGGCTGAGATTGCCAAGGATTCAGCTGGCAGTGACCTCGCCAATCTTTGCCCAAAAAGGCAGTGTACACGAGAACATGAATCACGCGGATTGGTAGAGTGCAGCATAGTAGTCTCTTTTCTGAATACAGCTCTACTATCTGGGCTAAGAGTGTCTGCCTTGTTGCTTAAGCTGTCTTGGCACAGCACGATATGATAACCAAAGTCCGGTAACGAGTCCTCTGGCCAGTAGGTAAAGGGTATAGTACCCACTCGCACCCACGCTTTATGTTGATAGAGCATAGGGACTGACAACATTGTGCAAGAGAGTAAATTCTGCGAGTGCATTAATGCAACATTCAATTTTCGCTGAACTACTGATATGTGGATGCTGAAGCTATACACGTGTCTAAGTAGGAAAGGCTAAGAAGAGTGCGCAATCTTGCAAAGTTTCGCCATCCCTGAAAACTTTCAGGCGGAGAAGATAGTGTGGTGTGAGATGGCTCATAGGCGTAGTACGAAAAACTCGTTGACACGACGTGTTTTCAGCCTTGTCTGGCAAGTTCCGGTCCTTGTGGACTATGCATTAACGCCATCACACACTTCGCCAGAAATGAGGGGATGGGGCCGCCAACGCAGCCAATCATTCAGGATAATGTCAAGCTGAACTCCCAATGTGGTATACACCCACTAAAATTAGGATCATGTGTGACTTGGCCCCATCAAACCGATCAGAATGGCTCTAGATCCCAAGTCTCGAAGTTGATAAGATCGCTTGCGTTCGCGCCTCGCCAGTGACTCGAGCAACCTGGCAGAGACTACCGGCCATTCTAATTAGGCGCTATAATTGAATGGTATAATAGTCCTGAATTACCTTCACCCCCTTTCTCAAGCCGCTTACAGTAGGCAGGACTACTCTGCTAACCTTTCTGGCCGACACGGTGGAGGATTCGATCCTGAAACTGGTGCCTTTGTCCACGTACAACCATACCAGCAATCTTATTATCCAGTTCGTATAATCCAGACTCTTGTACCAAGCACTCAGTAATCTGATTGATTTGGCTAGAATCAATCAAGTCACTGTGGTGGAGGCAGCTACGATCCAAATAAACCCGCCGTCACCATATCTGCTGTGCCACTGGTATACAATCAACCACCACCTCGCCCGCAACCAACATTCGCATCCCAAGTGAGTTTGAGGTGTATTCGTTTCTCTCCACAGCTGACGTGAATCTGAACAGGCGTCTACTGCGTATGATTCACAACCGTATCAGCATTTTCAGCCACCACCACAACAACACCAACAACAACACCAACAGCAATACCAACAGCAATACCAAGTAGATTCCCGACCAGGGTTTATCACACAGCTGTGTAATTGCTTTCGTTAATCTTCAAAATGCATACCGAAAACGTCCAGGCTTCGGTATACGAGACGACATATGTCTCCAACACCCCGAATAATGGCCAGGCGTCAGATCCGGAGAAACAGCCAGGGCAATCGCTCATCCTGGTTCGTCAGCCCTGATCTAAAGTCTACAGTTCCTAACGAGATATAGCCCCATGGACCCTTGAGGCTCAAAGAAGATGCATACATCTTCACCCCCTTTACCAATGCAAAATGGGGATTTCCAAACTTCTACCGCAAGCCAGGTCTCGGTTACCGGAAGCTTGGTCAATACAGGCATCGAGATTGTTTGGATCGAGAATGGGAGGGCGATTACGATGATCGCTACATCTCTGCCTGGGATGGCAAAATTTCGAAGCTAGTTGTGCAAGCTGTTGACGACATTTATGAAAACAATACCGGATCTACTTACAGGCGTACATACATCCGCAATGTTGCGCCTATATATATGCGCTTGGCAAACTGGCCATTCAACCACATCGATTATTCGGCGAACAATGGCCAGGCCTCAGGCCACGATCTCATGATGCTTGGCCTCAAGTGGTTTGTCGCGTCATGCGTCATCACTATTTTCGTATGTTACCGTTTCATAGTCAGCTATACTATTCTAACAAATGACAGATCTCCAGTCCCAGCCCTGCTGAAATTGCTGATCGCAATGGAGGCAACTACGATTCCGTCCCTTACAAGTACTTTGGCTATCCCAAGGTCGCAAAGAACATACTTGAGACGACTAACCCTAATGGCATCGTTCCGAGCCACGCAAATCCTGTTGCTGAACGTATACTACAGCCACGGTATCTTTGCTTCTTGCGTGATGGGAGGCCTGCAAAGATCGCCAAGGTAGATGATTGGTAAATCCTTGATCATCAACTCTCAAAGCTACCGCTAACTTGAGTAGGATTGCGGAGCAAGGTGGAGCTCACAACCTTTCCTATGTATTTGTTGCATACACGGCAGAGCAGTTCAACACACCCGAAGACTTCAGAGTTCTACATGAAATGGCTGATGCGGCCGCTCGTAGAGCTGGAGCGATTGCATACTGGGTTGGCTGCTCCTGCATGCCTGACAATCAGCTGCAAGAGGATGTACGCAAAGAGCGCAATCAACGCTGAAGAAGCCTCTACTAATTTCCATCCATAGGTCTACCGCATCTGTGATGTAATCCGAGGAGCCCGATCCCTCGCCATTGCTGTTGGCCCTCCTCCGAACAACTCATCCGAGATCAACACCCCAGAACTCATGCTTCAGCAATGGGGCCGCAGAGTCTGGACCTTCCCAGAAGTCCTGCTAGCGCCTGCAGGACAAGAAATCAGCGTCTTCGTGCGCGGCAGCAATCTCGACCACCCCATCATGGTCCCCAAGAACCAGTTTTCGGCCCAAGTATGGCTGGACGATGCCCATGTCGCTCGACAGGTATGAGAAACTGCCTATGAAGTCTCTTTGTTACCTTTTATTAACCAGCTTAGCTCATCGATCATTACGAGGGTAACCTGATTCTGAGCCAACTCGAGCTTGTCACACTTGCTCTCGAGTGCCTGCACAACAGAGATACCACACAGTACCTCCCAGGAGACCACAGCTACGCACTAATGGGTCTGCTCCGCGTGCGCCCCCAAATCGACCGTACAGACTCTGCATTCCAAGCTTTTGCGCGGTAAGTCGAATTCCCATAGAACACTTCTTGTCTCATCTTACTAATACACTGTACAGTCTCTCCCTCGCAAACGGAAGCGAACAACTCCTAGAACGCCTCATCTGCGTGCTACCAAAGAGGCCAGATCAGCCCTGGCACTCAATGGACGACGCCTACGGCGCCAAACTCTGGGATATCCTCCCACAAGACGTAGGCATCGCCGGCATAGGCGAAGACGACAGCATCATCCTTGACGGATGCCGCGCCGCAAACGTGCGCTGGAAGTCCTTCACACCCGTCGCATATGTCCGGCGAGAAGCATGGAAGCGGTTCATCGCAAAGAAAGCCCTGCGTCTCGGCGGCGTGGTCTTCATCGTTGCCATCGCGCTCACCGCCGTGCCATCCGTCCGCACAGCAGGTATCGTTCTCATCATCTACTCGCTCGTCCTCATGGCACTCTCACCCTGGCTACTACGCCTACTCTATCTCGGAAAGTTCTGGGACCAGCAGTGCTGGTTCTTTGGATTCGAGGGGTACATGGATTTGGAGACGATTGAGCGCCAGATTTTCGGGGGTAGACTGGGACGCATGAAGTGGACTGTACGTATTTCTTTCTCCCCCCCCTCTTTCCCTTCCACCTTTTTTTTTTGCTTGCTTGCTTGCTTGCTTGCTTGCTTGCTTGAGGTAAAATGGCTAATCATATGAAACAAAAAACAGGCAGCAGCAAGCCCCCTCTCCCGCCATTACCGCAACTCCAAAAACGAATGCATTCCCATCGACCCAACCTCCGACCCCGAAGTCGCCGCTCTAGTGCAAAAGGCCAAATCCGCAGGTCCAGGTGACCAGCGCGTCTTCACCCTTGTAGACACTGGTACGTCTCCCCCCCCCCCAATTTCCCCTCCTTCTTCCCCTTCCAAAACTAACAGTAGAATAGGCAACATGACAGCAACCCTCTTCACCGCCGAGCGCCCCCCGGTCTGCTTCCTCATGGCAGGCTCTGAAGGCGGCATGAAGCGCATCATCGGGTGCTCGTACGACTGGACGACGGAAACCATGTACCGCGAGACTGTGCTGCGCATTGGCACCGAGTTCGAGGATAAGATGTCGAGGGTCGGCAGGGTCAAGATTGGGTTTAACCGCAAGCAGCATCCGTTTGCGCCGTTGGCCGAGGTAGGGGAGCCGGTTGGAAGGGAGATTAAGTGAGTGAGTGTAGGTGTGCTTGTTGGATGGGTAATGTTATTGTCGACGTGATTGGGTTATGAATAATGTGTTTGGATTCCCCCTCCCCCCTTCTTATGGTTACCAGTGGTTTCTGGTTGGTTGGATGAATGGTTACGCTCTATATCACTGTCATGAATCTATTTTCTCTTGCAAGAATAACATCCTCTCATGTTCCCACTTACCACGTATACATTGCCACTTAAGATTTCCATACTGGCAAGGAAAAGAATCATGACCAGAAAGTCTAAACAGTGCTTCATAAATAAGAGAGGGAAAAAAAAAAGCTGTATATCAGAGATGATTAATGGCAATCTATTGTATAAGGAGAACGTGGATAGGTACAGTATTAGTACGAGTTTCGAGCGACCCCAAGATACCAAGTTCTAGCAACGAATACATGCAACACCACCCCTCCACAACAAGCTTAAGCTACAGCAGTAACCTCGGTAGGGATAATAGTGAAATCAACAGCAGGACCCAAACCAGTGTGGGCAACAGAGTTGTTACCCGTGTACGTGTACGTGACATCGCCCCTATTCACCCTCATTAGCTCTGGACACCCCCCAACTTCATCCCAGAAGGATATCAAACTTACTGCTTGAAAGAGTACTTGACACTAATGATAGCCCCGATATCTCTTCCTTGGTTGAACTCCTGCGTCTGCACATCGCCAGGGACATCGACGCCGACTACGCCGCAGGACTTGAATCCGCCCTGGACACTGGTGCCGGAGCAGAACTCGGCGTCAAAAGCTGGCTGGCCGGATGGACCGACAGGGGCGGACACGTTGAAGGAATAGCGGCAGATTGCGGCGGTGCAGACGCTGCTAAAGTCGGTGACTTGCCAGGTCCATGGTGCGGTGCTGGGGACGGCTGCTGCTGAGGCGCCGGCGGCGGCGAGAAGTGCGAATGAGGCAATTTTGGAAAACATGGTGAGAAGGGTGGATTGTTGTTGCTTGAAAGGTAGCGAATGTGTGTTTGGAACGAGTTATTGAGTTATTGAGTGATAGTGCTGTAGTGCGACCTCTTCAACAGCCTGGCTGCTGGCCTTTTATACTACTATTGTTTCCATTTTTTGCCTCATCAACTTCAGTCACGCAAAGGCGAAATCCATGTCCCTTGATGTCACGTAGAATACGAGGCTGTACATGTCGATGTTACTAACAGTACGAGTCGTCGTCCACTTGTGTCGTGTCACGCTCAACACGGTACAAAATTAGCCTCACTCCCTGGCGCCTTACCACAAGAGCACGTAAATGCTTGTGACATCATGCTAGACGCCACTATGGTTTCGATGTTAACAACGACCATGTTTGTCGTGGTGGCCGGCGATCGTCGCAAGGTGCTGACGAATGATGACAAGCGCCATCAAAGTGCCGCAATGGGAAGGATGCTAGGTCGTATCCGGTCCAGGCGTCCAGGCAACATATTGATGCTAAATGATTGTATCATCACAATGTCACCCCGTGCGTTTGAACATTACTGAACAGAAATTCAGAATTGTCATGATGCTGGCTGTGTCACGTCGGTGCTGGCCGATTAGCAGTGGGCCTCTTCTTGCTAACGGGAGACCCGGTAAAGACGTGACTGTCGGTGACAGACCTCATCATCCTCGGTCGAGACGTGCTAGGTAGGTCGAATGGACTTGCGTGACCATGTGTGGATCCCGGAATACCAGGCCTTGGTTTACTTCCTGGAGTGGCCACTGGATCCGCGGGCACATCCGCAGGCGGTGGTTCCACAAGCGGATCAGACAAGAATATTACCAGTAGCTTTTCAACAACATCTCGCATCCGATCTGGCTGAACATGCAATGGTTTCTCCGACATGTGGTTTCTCTGTAGACAGTTATTTACCAGAGCCAAAAAAAAGAAACATATCTAACATACCAGCGCAAGCGCTGCACCCTTGTAGGTCTGATGATAAATCAGCTTGTACTCATCATCTTTGGCTGCCTCTTCTGGGGTTGCCTGTTCACTCAAGCGCTCACTTTCGTCGCCAGCAACAGCCAACGATGCCCGACGGGACCTGTTCTGCTTTCGCTGCTGCAGCCCATGCATACGCATGGCTGCCATGACCACTTTGACGAGTGCATCCTTGTTCCGCGACTCCGTTGTTGGCTCTTCCGGCTTGATGGGTACAGTAGCGACCTGGGAAAGGTTGGATCGCCTCGTATGTGCTTCAGGTGGACCTTTGCGGCTCAAGGGTCTTGTGTCTGAAGAGATGCTCGGTGATCGCGACAGCGGACGAGAGTTGGAGTGCGGGAGGGGACCAGACGAAGACGATGGTCTCGAGTCTGGGAATGGCGAGACTCTTTTGTCAATGGACAGTGACGATTTGCGGTGGGCATAGGGTAGCTGGGACTCGCTTCCTCGAGCAGCCGCTGCCGAGACTGCTCTTCCACCCCTTCCTCTCGCCTTCTTGTTCGCTATTGTAGCCTCCTCAAAGATGTCTCGGTGTTTCTTCGGAGACCTGGGTGGGGCGTCGGCGTTGTGAATTGGTGGAAGGAAATGAGCATCATTGTCAATTGGCGGGTCGATACTGGCATAGTGTAGCATATCAGACGAAAGTGGTGTTGCGTGCACCCTGAGTTTTGGAAGCTGTTCGCCTGCATTGTCGACAAATGACAAGGACGATGGCGGTGTTGGTATCCCACCGGCGGCATGCGCAGCGATCGTCCCATAAAAGAGGATTTCTGTTGTCCTGGGCTTCTGAGCGCTTTCTGGTACATCCTGCACTTGCACTAGTATCCCAATGGGAGACTGTGAGCGCGCAAGGTTCCACCACTCATTTGTATCATGGTTGGATGCATTTGGGGATGTTATAGGGTTGCTGAGCAAGAGGGACTCAAACCAAGTTTGAGTGCTTTCTTCGGTTGTCCATACATCTAGACTGGGGCCGGCGGTAAGGTAGAGTGGTATTTTTGCGGTATCAACGGTGGTTAGGAAGCGCAGGTTAGTGGTGCTGAGGATTGGCGACGACGCGACATTTTGCGTAGTGAGGCTGATTTCTGCACAGTGTTAGCAATAGTAGGGATACGAAAGCGATACAGCATACCTTTGATTAAACGACCGTCTGGTAGCAGGAGATGCCCGCTCCAGACATCAGTCATTGCAGGTGCACATGTACGTAGTTGTCAGTTTTTCGTCGAGGCAATACCCACGGCAGCTCGGCGGGATGACGCGCTTCGGTCCGCACTAAGAACACGCGACTGCACGTGCAAGCTGCCATTATCACAACACTATATCATTTCTCTCCGAGTTTGTCGTTTTCAGTCACAGGGAACAGATAGTTGAATGCGGTAGCTATTGATTGGAGCAGAGGTGACGACCTGTTGAATTGATCTCTAGAGATAGATTTTTACCGGATGAAATTCTAACACATATGAGAGATACTGGGTTGCCAATCCCACTGGCCTCCCCTCCCACTCCTTCCTCCAGAATCTTGTCCCAGGCCCAAGCCCTGGAGCCTCTCTATCAAATACTACTTTCTCCTGCATAAGATCCCAATGCGCAGCATTCTTCCACCTTAACAGCATTGGTATCAGAATTTTGCCGGTAATGTTTTTGTTGCGACAAGTCGTTGCAAAATCCTCAACTTGGCTGTCAAGCCAGGCAAGGGAAGGATCGGCGGGCTGCCATATGGATAGCGACTCAAGAGCTGTTGCCTGGTCGAGTAGAGTGAGAGAGGTCTGATATATGTACGAAACATCCCTTCGGGCTAACATTAGGTAGTGCGCGATTCGCTGCGACGCTTTGACCGAGAGGCCATTTTGCACAAAGGATGGATTCAAAGAAAACACATGCTGAGCATGTGAGAGATCGGTGCGCAGGATAAGATGCCGCAGATTTGGTGGGAGTAGAGGGGCGACTTGTGTTCCGATGGAAAACTCGGAGTCTCCAGTCAAGAAGGGAAGTGGGACTTCCAGAGTGTGAAGTTTGGGGAAGTGCGTCATATCAAGGCAACCATGCAGCATTTCCGAGACCTGGGGTTGGTGGTCGAACCAGCCGGTTTTGTTGCAATATTCTATACTGAAGACAAGAATCTCAAGCGTGGATTGAAAGGGTTGTAACAAGTCGCACCAGGCGGCTAGATCGACGACAGGATGTGTTACTCTGAAGCCGTCGAAGAGGAAGTCGTAGGTGAGTGAGCGTAGCCTAGGGATACATTGAAAAAGAGAGCGCGTACTTTCGATGAAAGCGCCCGAATGGCGGAAGACCAACGTAGTAATATTAGTCGGTCTGATGCGCCGGATGAGGGGAACGTCAGTTCCGAGCGTGGATTGATGACGCTTTCCGCCTCGGACTGAAAGCTCGAGGGATTTCATATTAGGGAGATTAAGAAAATGATCAGCCGTGAGGTAATTATTTGGGTTGTGGTATGCTATGCCTCTTGTTTGGTCAAAGACAAGAGATGTATGTGTGATGGATGACAGGCGACGGACAAGGGACTGAGCCAAAAAGCGCGGAGTTCCTAATGGTTCGGGAGCTAGGGTATCCGGCAAAGCTTGAAGATAGTCATACGTGGTAGACTTGCAGTCGGTTACGTGTAGATGTTGAAGCGATGGGAGGACTAGGATGATGAGTGCTGCATACGCAGAATACTCGCGTAGTTCTAGGGAGGGACGTTGTTAGAAAGCAGGGCTAGCATAATAAAAGCAGATGTTGACGTTTTTTTTTTCATAGTCGCGAATAAGTCTCAGCGATGCAGACAGTGCCATGACACAAGGGTTTCCCAAAAGATGGGCTGCCAAAAATCACATACCAAGTGCCTCTTTCAGGTGAGCATGGGTAGAAAACATAGTCTCGTTGGTCCAAATGTCCATGGCCTTTTGGAGTAGGTAGACATGGTCGAAAGAGCTATCGTGCGGAAGCTGTTGCTGGCCTTGAGTAATGCTTTCACCAGGGGACACGCCCAGACGGATCGACTTGACATTGCTGGCTTTTCTGCTGTCCTTGAGGATGTTCAGACAAAAGTAATCAATCCTTGGGAGCTTGTTGCTGGGCGGGACGAAGAGATCGACATGGCGGTAAAGGAATGGAGTAGCCAGTGTGTGGAGATGGCTGTTGAGGCGGCAAAACGAAGACGTGTCATGCTGTGAAAGACGGCCGACTATTTGCTCGAGCAGCTCATTGGGGAGACTGGAGAAGGATGCCATTGCAGAGGATGGTTGTGTCGACCGGTGATGGCGATTTGATCTTGCTCAGGTCAAGGGCAAGGCAGATGATGCGGATCCGCTGAGGTCCGTGCCAATTGTCCGTGGAGCTCATCATTGGCAAGCTGGAGGCAATTGGGGACCCGGGCATATGGTTTGCGCATACCGTCGATGTATCGAGTATGTACAAGATTCAGCAGCAAAGAATGCTAATGGCTGTGCGGTGCGGTGCGTTGCGGTGCTAGCGGCGATGGTGGACCCGACAGTTGCAGCCACGAACAGGCAGGCGTAAACAGAGCGAGTCAAGGCGAGGCGGCGGTGGGGCCATGACATGCATCTTCACATGGCTCGCGGCTGACCACTCAGACGCGACCTATTTCCCGGGCCAACCCCGCGTTTCGAGGCACGTCGACGGGCTCGACGAGGGGCATGCATCCGTGTTAGTATGTGTATACAGACATATGACGCTGTAGACGACATGGTGTTGCACCCAGCCGGCCATGCGCACTGCTAACGGGTCGAGGGCCGAAGGCAGCGCAGAGCAGATGGGTGACACATGTGACGCGGGTCTGGTTGGCGCTATGGAGCGAGTAGGTAAGGCGAGGGCAGAGGGCGGAGGGCAGAGGGCAGAGGGCAGAGGGCAGCAGGGAAAATGTCGTCTGCTGGCAACCAACCCCCGGCCAGCGCCAACATGAACGGACAGGCGGACGAGGGGGTTGGGCCGAGTACGAGCGTGTCAGAGTCCAATGACCAGCCTCTGCTTCCGACTTGTTCCTTGCCCATCGACAGTTCGACGGTTCGCGGCTCCGTCCACGAAACAACCGTCCGCCTCGCCCACACTGGCCATCAGCTACACTACTTACGCTCACCTCGGCTACTGTCCCTCCATGCATACCCATACATATATATATAACACACACACATAGTACATAGCCAGCCAGCCAGCCAGCCGGCCACACCAGCAGCAGCAGTAATAACACCTCCTTCACCGTCACATCAACAGCAACAGCAACTACGTCACACGCTTGCGCTCCCGCCCGCCCCTGTGTCGTACATAGACAATAGCCCGCTAATCGCCTGCCGCGGCCTCTGCCACGAGAGCGTATGGCGTAGACACGACGTTTCCGCCAGACTCCACCACAAACACCATCACAGCCCATTGCTTGCCTGCACCCCACGCCTGTTACACGTCGCCCTTCGCCCCCTCGGCTCGCCAACACGCCCGTCCACACCGCCCTCAGCCCACCCAGCGCCTCGTTCAACAAACACAAAACGAGCCACCGGGCCTTGATGCACGACGACGCACACCGGCCCTCACCAGACCACCCCGCCCCCGACCGCTCCATGACTACCAACAGGCCCTTTCTCGGGGGCTTCCTCGCCGCCTTCCGCGCCCAGCAGCCCTCTCTCCAAAAGACCGTGTCCTCGCAAGCTGCCTCTGTCGCATCCTACGCCCAGAACACCCCAGCACAGCAACAACAGGCCCGTGACTCGGCTGCCGCGTCGCGCACCATCACTGCAAAGGCACGATCCCCTTCACCGGGTGCGACCGTTGCTGTCCAGGGGACCGGTCACTTCCAGCCCACCAGACAGCACGCCCCTCCCTACACCCGCTCCACATCGCCCCAAGCAAAGGCCTTTCCCATACCAGGCGCATCGCAACGGAGCAGGAGAGGTTCAGACAGCTCTTCGGACGGCTTCCACGAGGCCATGGGCGCAGAAAAGTGGTATATTGGCGGCCGCACCGCAACAGGCGAGGAGAAGTTTTACAAGCTTGGCATGGTCAAGCGACACAAGAGTGCAGATCGCTTGAGCCTGGATAAACTCAGCATATGACACTCGCTATGCGCATGACTTGGTTTTTAAAAGGCGTAACTGCATCGACGACGGCGTTTGGGACTGTACACGCACCCTTTTTGTGGGGTCGGGTTCGACATTTTACGACACTCTTGGGTACGCATTTGGCCACGGCCACGACCATGGCCACGGCTGACATGGCCTATATACACCCATATCTGAGCTCTCCATTTGAGCATTTTGCCTTGTATTGCTAGTTCTTGTTTTCCTGTTCGTATTGTCCACGTGAGCACCCACGTGAGTGGCCCTGTGCCAAGATATTCCCTTGCACTATTCCCGAGTCCACTCTTGATCACCTCACTGCCTACTGCCTGGTATATATTGCATCTACTCTGACTACAGCCTAGAACACAATGCCTGCCTTGAACTGAATCGTCAAGACGCACTCACACCGCCGCCAACGTTTCCGCCCGGACATTCTTGTTCCGATGTACCTGTGACCATGATCCACTTTTCGGATATATCTACTCCTCGAAGCGAAGATTCTTCACGGAAAAGCTTTTCTATGGACGACGACGCGTATCCACCCACGGATATGATCCGCCATTAGCGTCCTGCAATCCAAGCATAACCCAATCTGTAGCCCAAACCAATCGTACATTAATGCTCTTGATTCGCTTGCATTCTTCCTTCATCTGATATCACTCTATGCCCAATCTTTTTTCGACTCACTCACTGAATCATTGTTTTTGTTCACGATTTGCCTTCTATGAGTACGCATAATGGCACCCTCTTCCACATCCTCCTCAGCACCCGCTGGCCCTCAGCATGCCAATCCGGACACCGAACCTGAGAAGCAGACGCAATATGCCTCCATTATCCCTGAGCAACCACAACAAGACCGGCTGCAGCTGCAACGCACAGTCTCGAGCAGTCACCACGACATGGTCAATGTCCAATACGTCGCAACTGGCGACAACGATGTCATCTACAGCAAGTTCTCCAACAGTCGAAAACTAGTCATTGTTGCCGTTGTGTCGTTTTGTAGCTTCCTCGCTCCCATTTCCTCAACCACTGTATTGTCCGCTGTTCCTGAGGTGGCTGCTACCTTCAACACCGACGGCTCCATCATCAATGTGTCCAATGCCCTGTACATGCTCTTCATGGGCCTGTCTCCATGCTTCTACGGGCCATACGGCAACATTTACGGCCGCAAATGGGTCTCTGTCACGAGTGCTGCCTTGTTCACTGCTTTTTCCATTGGCACAGCTTTGGCACCCAATCTGGCTGCCTTCTTTGTCTTTCGAATCCTTACCGCGTTTCAAGGGACTGCGTTTTTGGTGATTGGATCGGCCGTCATTGGCGATATCTACAAGCCGGTAAGTGTTGGTTCCTGATCATAAAAACATACAGTACGACTTGGACATTGTGCCAGGTAATGTTTACACTACAGTCTTGTTGCTTTACTAACACATTCATAGACTGAGCGCGCAACAGCACTGGGTTGGTTCCTCAGCGGTACCCTTATTGGACCAGCACTGGGCCCCTTTCTCGGTGGCATCATCGTCACATTCCGGACCTGGCGTGACATCTTTTGGCTGCAGACAGCTTTGGCTGGCGCAGCAACCATGTTCTGCTTCTTCCTCCAGCCAGAGACGATTCACAAGCGACGTGCCGACGAGCTCCAAGGACTACCAAGGAAAGAGCGAGCCGTCAAAATGTGGCAGTGGCTCAACCCCTTTCGCATCATCATGTTGTATCGGTACCCGAATATCCTCCTCACAGGATTGGCTTCGAGTGCGCTCGTCTGGAACATGTACTCGCTGCTCACACCCATCCGCTACGTCTTGAACCCGCGCTTCAACCTCGAGACGCCATTGCAGTCTGGTCTCTTCTACATTGCGCCCGGATGCGGATACCTAGTAGGCACCTTTGTCGGCGGCCGCTATGCCGACCGCGTAGTTAAAAAGTACATTCGCAAGCGCGGCCAGCGTGTCTCGGAAGATCGTTTACGCAGCTGCGTCTTGTTTCTGGGCGTCATGATGCCAGCCTGCATGCTTATCTACGGCTGGAGTGTTGAGAAGCGCGTTGGTGGGGTCGCTCTGCCCGTCATTATGATGTTCCTGCAGGGTGTGGGCCAACTTTTTTGTTTTCCGAGTTTGAATACGTATTGTCTGGATGTCATGCAGAGTCGGAGTGCTGAGGTCGTTGGTAAGTACCATGGTCTCTGTTGTGTGAAATGGAAACTAACGACGTCATAGCGGGTAACTACTTTATGCGGTACATGTTTGCTGCCGGAGGATCTGCTGCCTGTCTGCCCGCCGTTCGAGCCATTGGCGTCGGCTGGTTCTCGACCATTAGCGCTGCATTTCTTGTTGCCGGCGCGGCGGGAACCTATGTCACGGCGCTGTATGGAAAGTCCTGGCGCATGGCTATTGATGAGAAGAAGGCGGCCAGGAAGGAGGGTGAAGATAAAGTGTAGGTTGTCGATGGGAACTAAATACTGAGTTCATGATGGATACTTGGGTCATGGAGTCATGTACAGACATGCAACTTTTCTTTTTCAACCCCATCGAACTCGCACAGATTGATCAGTTACCAACATTGAAAAAAAAAGTTAATTTCCACCATAATACTAGTTAAACACGCACACTGTACCATCCGCCCACATACACTCCACCAACAATAGCACAAATACATGATGACGATGATAATCCTCCTTCTGCAAAACCACAAGAAAGACTACACATCGCTACCAAGCCAAAAGAAGAAAACACCAAGCATCCACCACCCACGCCACCCACGCCACCAACGTCCCCCCACCGCTCTAATCCACCAAATCCCAGTTCCCGCCTTCACCCAGCCCACTTCCCCCCCACCTGCCCCACCCCATCCAACCAAAAAAGTTTCCTTCCAACCCCCGCTCGCTCAAAAAATCGATTTTCTTTCTTAAGTTTATATTTCATCTTATCAACTAATCCTCCATCAAACACCATCAGATCCTATCCTCGATTCGCTTCTGATCTCTCAGCGCAGTGCACAACACTCGCTCCTTTCCTAGCAAGGCAAACAAGGTCGCTTAGCTCAGTTGGTTAGAGCGTGGTGCTAATAAATCCAGAACTAGGAGCTTCTGCTTCTACGAAAGGAACTAGTAGACGCCAAGGTCGCGAGTTCGACCCTCGTAGTGACCATTCTCTTTTTTTTTCTTTGCCGACTTTCTAGAAAGGGAGGGAGGGAGGATTGGAGGATTTGTTTTTTTTTGCAACTAGAGAGAGAGAAAGAAAGAGAGAGGTACGACGAGAGATGGGAATAAAGGTTTGGCTGCTTACGATGTGTGTTTGTTGGTTGGTTGATACAATTGGGTTCTAAGTAATATTCCTGTCTTTTTTTGTGTGTGTCTGAAATAGCGATTGTAAAATACTGAGGTAATCATTATTTCCCTATCCTAACTGCAGTAAGTTGAGCTTATCGAATTACTGACATGTTTTTCTCAACTACACATAATACAATCTGAATCACTACAGGCACGTAATTCATAGACCCTGGACTCACAAGATATCCGATCCATTATAAATGTAACAAGCACCAAACAATGATCCCGCCCGTATTATTTACAAACGCCAATTAATCATCCGTGGTATCTCCCAACCAACCAACCCACGTCATACCGCCAGCATGGCATCCTCCAAACTCGACATGTCCATCGTCAGTGCATCTCTGCACGCACCGTTCTCACACAGCATGACACCTTCCTTAGCAGCATCCATACTCTGCACCAGGGCATTCCTAGCCTTCAACCACTCGCCTTTCCCTTTGCCCACTCTACTGACAGTCCCGAGACCGGTCGGCCGCTCACGATACCGCCTCAGCCATTCGTCAACCTTCTGACCGTCGCCTGTAATGACGGCATGCCTGATGCCGAGTTTGCCCGCAACCACGGCTTCCATCATGCTCGGAAACAGGAACGGATGCTGCATAATTTCCGCCTCAAAAGCAGAGGCCGTGTCGCGCGCTCGCTGCGTGTACTCGCTGTCCTCGAGCAGAGCGCCGAGACGATCGAGGTTCTGGGCCGAAACGCCGTTAGTACCTGGCTCTGCATTGTCCATGCCGTCCTTGAGCCGCATAATGAGGTCAGTCTGGTCCTCGGGCGTGGAGAAGAAGCCCAAATGCTGCTTGTCCCAGAACATCTTCAACTGTGTTTTCTGCAGGTCATCGGCCCACTGCAGATATGAGTCATTGAATGTAGCTTCGTACAGATTGATCAGGCCAGAAATGAGGTAGGCGTAGTCATCGGCAAATCCAGGTGCATCGCCGGGGCCTTCGCGCCACACACGTATCAGCGTCTTGGATTCCGAGTTATAGAGGTGTTTTTGAAGAAAAGCAGCCGCCTTCTCAGCTGCAGCAAGATACTCCTTGGAGCGTGCTGGGTCTTGAGATGCCAGCGCAGCCGATGTCCGCGCCAGAGCGCCAATAGCGAGACCGTTCCAGGATACCACAATCTTGTCGTCTAGGCCCGGCCGTGGGCGCTCCTTGTTGCGATGCTCGAGAAGCTTCTGTCGACCCTCGGTGAGGATCTTCTCAACCTTGTCTTCGGAGAGACCAAACTGTTTAGCCAGATCTGCGGATGTCGAGGTAATGGCTAATACGTTCTGGTTGATGAGTTCGTCGTGTGCGTCATGCTCAGGAGCAACATTGCCTTCGTCCTTGACATTGTAATACCGTGCCAGAATCTCAGAATCCCTCTCGCCAAGTATATCCTGAAACTCATTCAATGTCCACACGTAAAAGGCACCCTCCCGCTTCTCCTTGTCGTTTGGACGATATAGTGAATCGGCATCCTCGGATGAGTAGAAGCCACCGCTCTCGGCATGCATGGGCGGGCTCGTGAGATATGTTGCGATATCGTGAACAGCCCCAAGGTGCTCCGGACTCCTCGTCATCAGGTATGCGTCCAGGTACACGGCCAGCAGCTGCGACTGATCATAAAGCATCTTCTCAAAATGCGGCAAGCTCCAATCTTTTGTTACTGAGTAGCGCGCAAATCCATTTCCAATCTGATCATGTATGCCACCCTTGTTCATCGCAGACAGTGTTGCCAGAGCCATGTCTTTTGCGTACGTGCAGTCCTTTGCCCCGAGAACTTCCTTGACCGGGTTCGGATATTGCGACAGTTTTAGGAGAAAGTGGAGATTCGAGGGAGTTGGGAACTTTGGCGCGCCGCCGAAACCTGCGTGGACTTGATCATATCTCTTCTTGAAATGCTGCGCATTGTTAGTAATAATTCCGTACTGTTTGCAAAAGTGGTACTCGCTTCATATGCTTCATCCAGCAGCTCCAGGTCCAGAGTCTCGTTAGGCGCGCCGTCTTTTCTACTTATATTTCCCTCTTCAGCAAAGTCGCGCAGCTGTGCTGTAATCTCCTTGGCCGACTCAAGACACCTTTGTCGCTGGTCCCTCCACACATCCCGAATCTTCTTCAAGATACCAATAAAACCAATGTGTTCCCCCATAGCCATTGTCGATCCTGGACCAGGCCAGTAGGTACCGCCGAATATGGGCTCGAGATCGGGTGTGATAAAGACGTTCAGAGGCCAGCCTCCGGAGCCTGTTGTAGCCTGGACGTAGTTCATGTATATGCGATCAACGTCTGGACGCTCTTCGCGATCAATCTTTATGGGAATAAAGTGCTCGTTGAGTAGCTTCGCAACCTCATCATTCTCAAAGGACTCGCGTTCCATGACATGACACCAATGGCAGGCAGCATAGCCTATGCTGATGAATATCAGCCTGTTCGATTTCTTGGCGAGTTCAATGGCCTCTGGTCCCCATATTTGCCATGCGACAGGATTGTTCATGTGACCGCGAACGTAGGGACTCCGGCTCTCATTGAGGCGGTTCCTCAGCTTCAGGTCATCGCCTGAAGAGGTCATATGACTCGAAGTACTGTGTGGGTTCATCCTCAGGATCGAGGTACGGAAGTGGCGCTGTTGCGCAAAAGAGACGGCCGGCCAAGTCACAGCAGCTGCAGTAGAGACTTGGTGGGCGGACGCAGTGGCGACTGGAGTTCTGACAGGACGGCAAGAAGCTCGAAAGTTGAACTTCACAAGAGGCATACAGCAAAGAAAAAAAGAAGCAAGCACATGCAAAGTCGCAGTGGCGCGTGGTTCGGCGAAACTATGGCCGTTATCAATGAGCATCTCCGACTGCGCTGCCGACTCGCATCTTGCCCCGCCCCCGCCAACGACGTAATCTCCGCGACCCCGACTGGCCCGACTGGCTGGTGGAGGCTTGGTCCTCTGCAATCCGCGCCTGTCTGACGTGCAGTAGTTTTGCCTATTTCATTTGCCCATTACAGATATTTTCTCGAAAGGAAAACCATGTGCCACCGATTGACCGTTCAAGTGACCATGTTTAGTTAAGCACCCGCTGAGGCGCAGTATGGAAGAAACTTTTCAGTCTGCATTAGGAAGGCAAGTCACGCTCGGTGTTCTAGCCTACGCTTGTGCATGCTTTTGGCAGAAAAAAACAGTGGAGTCTAGAAGATGTCTGTACCATGGGGATGTCTACAGTGGCGAAAATGGATTTCTACCCTGTTCAACTTGCGACCTCGGTTTGGGTAGGAAACTCGCGCGCCCGAGGTACACGAGCACTGCTCCGACTGAGCCTAGCGACTCCACCTGAAGGACGAAATTTTACAGATTGTCCTTGGTCATGCGTCTGTCTTGTGACGCTGATCCTGATCATCCTGATATCCAAACTCTAACTGATATGTACTAGTCATGTTTACGAGGTATTCAGGGTCGCCCCTCTTGGCTCTCGAGCTGAAGATGACCAGCATCCTTAGCATCGTGATCTTCTTTGGAACAGACAAATGATCCGATAGTGAAATATTCAATACCCGATAGTGCTGGCTGGGCTCAGACCCTTTTTATATTCTCCGATGACGTCTTCATCTCAATGATGGTACAGGTACATTCAAGTTGCCATTTTAGTGTTAGCATGTTCTTGATAAGGAAAGCAATTTCTACAGTCTGTGGGGGCATCGCACATGGCGTCAGGTATGAGCTGAACCAACGGAGACATGTTCTTCGGTTTGTATGACCGGTATAACCTAGCTTTTCCGTCTGTTTCTGTCAATGTCTTGGCGGGTTTATTTTACCATGCAGAACTACACACAGATAATACCAAGATGACTCCTCACGCAACTCACTGAATATCCTAAAATCTTGGAAAACCAGTAATGGCAAGACAAGCGATCTACAGTACTCAAGAAGGAAGACTAGCCCCAACCCTTATCACTGCAGCTCAACCATGCATGTCAGACCGAAACACACCCATTATATAGGAACAATCCCATCTAATAAATCCTTCCCCTGCCTGCCTTAGATGTTCCCGTTCCCTTTGCCCACTCACTCACCCACCCAAACCGTCTGCTTAAATATCCCCATTTCCCCACACCACCACCCCAAACACACAAGCACCACCCAAGCCTTCCAGATTAATTACACACCCCATCCCACCCGCCCCCGTTCCCCCCGTTCCCCCCAAACCCCCTGAAACACGGGGTTGTGCGGGGACAAAAAAGTTGCACCACCATGAACATCTGACACTCTACTTTATGCCTGACCCCCCCTGCCTGTCACACGCGCCGAACCGCCCCGTTGGGAGGGAGCCCACAATCCCCCCTCCCCAAAAAGTCAGAGAAAAGAAAGGAAGAAGAAAAGGAATGCATAATGATCTGCGTCTGCGATATTGCTTTTTAGCCGCTGCGTGATCACTCCCCCAGCCCCCTTTTAGTAGATCAGGAACAAGCAAAAAAATTGGCTTGTTTCGTTTGAAAGAGGAGTCTATGTTTAGATGCGACGAGGTTATATTGGGGTGCGGAAGAAAAAGAAAAAGAAAGGAAGATGGGAGATGGACGGCATGGATAAGACATGGATAAGAATGGAACATAAAACTGGGAAGATGTTAAATCTCCGATTCGCTTGAGGATAGTACACGCAGTCGAATTCATTTTTTTTTAAAAATAGATTCTGCTTCCTTAATCAGCAAAAGACGAATGTTAACATCGCAAAAACAAACAATCACTTGTAGAAACCACAGCATTCAATCAGACAAGAAAAAAGGATGTTATTCGCACCAATCTCTCAACCCTGACATACCTCTCGTCATACCAATAGCGCCGTTACATGTAACAACAATACCATGGTGATCCAGCAACCAAAAGGTAGCTTTTTCTAGCAAGGAATCAAGAATAGAGACATTTTATATGAAAAAACAACAACAATCGAGTACTCCCATATAAGCCAACAGGCCCGTCAGGAGCTTCCGAAGAAGTTCTTCTTGTGTGACATGTAACGTGTATGGAAAGAAAGAAACAAAGAAACAAAGAAACAAAGACATAGAGTGGCATATGCCCATGTAAACGATATTTTCCCGAGGCTCCAGACCAAGAAAGAGAATGCAGGGAGACTGGCGTGAGGAGAAAAAAAAGGATATGTAACAACGAATGGAAAGAGAAGAAGAGCAAGTATGGTATATGAACAATAGAATGCAGATACGCCGGCCCATGGCGGAAAAGCAAAGAATGAACAAGATGAAACTTCACAGGTCCTGTCAATACTGTTTACAAAGGCTCAGAAATGAGGTGCTTCTCGACTAGAGACCACTCTAAGAGCCGGTGTTCTTAATGTTAACGCCACCAGTAGTATCGGCTGCACCGGTTTTGCTGTCAGACGATGCGTTGGGTACAGGCTCATCAACGGTCGATGCATTGGTGCTTGGATTGGTGCTGCTCAGTGGTGACTGAGTAGAGCTGCTGAGAGCAGGCGTGGGCATGGTGGGTGAGTCTATGCGATCGTAGCGGTTCATCTTCTTCTCAACCTGGAAAGAATTAGCCAATCGTCTATCAACCAGTCGGATTGTTAAGCTCAGCTTACCGATACGCACTGTTTGCCGGGAATAACCTTCTTGGCTTTTTCAAGCTCCGGCTTGAGTGACTGAACAAACATCTCGTAGTCATCGCGGGTAAGGGTGTCCAAAAGCTTCTGGATCACATAGTTGCCATAACCATCCCTGAGCAAGTTCATGACATTGCTCTCACCGCGCTCGTTCTTGGACAAGACGACAGACACAAGCTCGCGGCGTTGGGCATCGTTGCTGCAGATCAGACATCTTTCAACAACGTTACTGGCAAACTTGTGCTTTGAAAAGACCAAGAACTGTGCTTTGATCAAAGCAACAATCTTGGCTCGGTCCTCTGGCAAGCCATGCTCGATGACATGTTGGGTCACGTAGTTCCCGTATTGGTCGGTGATGAGTTTTGGACCCTCGGCGTGAAGCTCCGTAAGTATGAACCTGCGCTGGGGTTCTTCCACCTTTTCGAGCAGTCGCTGGATGACGCGGCAGCCATACGAGTTTACCGACAAGACACCGACATTGCCCCTGAAAGCCTCAACAATCTTTTGGATGTGGTGCATCGGGACTCGGTCAATAACCTTTTGGATGACGTGATTGCCGTTCTGATCCTTGACAGTCTTGAGCACATCCTTTTCAAGCTCCTTGACCATGGATGCTTGCTGCTCGGTGAGGGCGTGTTCCAAGGCCTAGACCCCATTAGTTTTTGTTCATGCTTGCAACCAGGAAAACTTACCTTTTGGACTACGCGACAGGCGTACATTTGATTGGCGAGCTCCAGGACATGGCCCTTCATCTTACCAACAAGAATCTTCTTTTGAGTCTGGTCACCGTGCTCGAAGAACTTTTGGATGACGTAGTTGCCAAAGACATCCTGCATGAGCTGGAGCGCATTCTCCTCGAGTTCCCTGAAGACACTTTCCTTGACTTCGCTATTTGCAGTTTCGAGCTTCTGCTGGATAAATCGAGAGCCGTGCTGATCTCCTGCAAATTCAACCACGTGACCTTTGATGTCGGTCAGTTCCCATCGCTTGCTCTGCTTCTGCTCTCTCTTGAAATTCGCCAGCTCAGGGCTCATGACGCCTAATGCATCGGTAGCATTTTGTTCGCGAGGTCCTCTGGGCGGTTGCTGTTGGCCAGGCATCATCTGGGCCATGTTCATGTGCTGCGGTAGTGCAGACAGAGGCATACCATTGGCCATGGCAAACTGATACTGGAAAGGATTCTGCAGTTGGGCGGTGGGGAACATGTGTTGGAACTGTTGCTGATGAAGTTGGTTTGGCGGAAGGAAGTTGCGCCTTCCCTGCTGTGACAACTGGAAGCCAGCTAGCTTGTTCTGCAGTTGGGCGACATTGTTCGGATGGGCCAAGTTTTGCTCGCTGCTATAAGGATTCAGACGATCATATACAAGCGGTGTGCTGCTGTGGGAGTACATGGGACTCTGACGAACACTGGTGCCGTTTACAGCACTTCGGCCACTGTCGAACTGGTGGGATCGGAGTTGGCCGTTGAGTTGGCTGCTGGGAAAGGTATCCGGAGTGTAAGACCCTGCATCCATTCTGCCTGCATTTGACAGATAGGTGTGGCCATTGAAATTTTCGCCAAGCTCCTCTCCAGACGCAAAGGCCGAAGGAATGTTGGTGGTGCTCATAGAAGCCCTGTGTGAAGCCATGCGCGACTCTGGTTCTTGTTCGTAATTGATTCTGCCGAGTGCTTGGAATGAGTCGCTCTGCATTGAGCCACTTCGTTCTTGGAAGGTGCGACCATTGGCAAGAGAAAAGGATGAACCGTGGCGCGGAGCTTGCGAGAGCCTCGAGAAAGCGTCCATGGTTTGGTTGAACTGGCTCGGTTCGGCGCCATGTCGCGAGGGTGGCAGGCTTCCGCTTCGCGAAGGAGCTCCGCTCGAAGATGTGACGTGGTCGGAATTAGCTACGCTGCGGCGGTCGTCGTTAGGGGAGTGGACCGAGGCAGTGTCAGGCCATGATGTGACGCCGGTGTCGGGGCGGTGGGCGTTTGTCTCTGGCTGAGCAAAGCCAAAGTTTGTGAAGCTGGCATTAAGCCCATCGATTGGGCGTGAGGCGAAGTTTGCATTTGCAGTGTCTGAAAAGGGCTTGATGGTTTTGGAGAGGGAGCCTCGAGATGCACCAAATAGACCAGATGAGGTGTTATCAGCGTAGGGCTGGCCTGGCTGCGCCTGCGCAATTGACCGCTTCCCTGCCGGCGAGACAGCGGAGCTTCTGGCCTGTGACATGCTTCCGGCTGGCTTCTCGCTCCAGGCTTGCCTAGCGCTTGGCCTCCACTCGGTGTCCGAGTTGGCCACGAGGGAGCCTGAGCCTGTCTTGCCGTCGGCGAGGGTAGCGTTATCTGCACACGTGTCAGTGCTGTGAAGAGCGTTTGCACAATGGCTCATCTGCGGTGGCATACCTAGAGGGCGCGAGGTGTCCCTGCCCGCGGAGCCGAAGGGAAAGGCACCAATCGGGGCATTCCAGATGCTGTTGCCCCATGGGGACGAGTGTGATGTGCGGTCGGCGTCTGTGCCGTTGAGCGAGAGGGCATTGCCAAAGTCGTGCGATCGAGTCTGGGGGATTGGGTTAGTGTGGATGGGGCAAGTGGCGGAGAAGGAGCTACCCACATTGCCCGTCATGGCGGCCATATTACGACTGAGGTCGCTGGACGTGGAGTTCATGTACACTGGCGGGGCGAGGTGATGTGGTGTATATATGCGGGCAGCGGGCGGCGGGGTTTATTAGGGCAGTGGGTTGTGGAGGCTGCGCAGAGTGGTTGGTGGGTATGTGTGTGTGTGGGGATGGGTCAGGGTCGAACTAAGGCTCAGGCGTCAGCACAAGCAGGGCAGTTGTTGAGAGTTTGGGCGCACCGACACTTGTATTATGACTCGCACAGCGGAGGACACAATGAGAAGTATGTGAAGAAGGTGTGTACAAGGTCGTGGCAGCAGTAAAGACGAAGAAGATGAGAGTAGTAGTAGTGGTAGGGAAAAAAAAAGAAGACCAAAAGTATGTGATGATATGAGCGTAGTAGTTGGGTAAGCTGGGGTGCCGTCCGTGGGTCGTGGGGAAGCGAACTCTGGGTGGAGTGGGAGTGTGGTTGTAAGGCGGGCGAATGGTAGTGGTGATGGCGGTGGTGGTGGTGTTGGTCGCTTCTTTCTAGCCAGAGTAGATAAGCGATTCTAAGCAATGATGTTGCGCGCCAGGCGGGGAACGCATCAGGGTCGACAACCAGTGTAGCGGGGATGCAAGGGCGGGAGGGCGGCCAGGACGGGCGGTGTTGGGTCTTATATGTGCAGCGGGGGCGGGCAGAGCCGGTTATGTGGGATTGTGTGCGGTTCGCAGAGGGAGAGAGTTTGGTCGTAGCACAGACGTGGGCGTCGGGGAGGGGGCAGAGGCAGAGGACGAGTGGAGGGGGTGGGTGAAGATGTCTTTTTGCTGGAGATGCGACCTGCTAGGCCCTGGCGACGATGGGATCGGCAGCTAAGTTTGGCGTCCGCTGGGGTACGCTAAGAATGGGCCAGACAGGATTGCAGTAGATTGGACTGCAGGCCGAGGGAAGGGAGGGTGGTGATGGTGAGGGTAGTGGCAAAGCAAGCAAGCAAGGCTTTGAGGAGACGGCGCTGGGGCGTCGTCGTCGTCTTAGAAGAACACGGTAGCGGGCGCAGGCGTCGTGTCTGTCACTCTAGGTTTACAATGCGCTCGTATGTGCCAAGACCGAGCCAGGGACGATGCGGCAGCGCAATCCGGCCGATCTCTTGTGTTGCGCGCTCCCCGTCTGGCAGCCTGAGACACTCCCCTCGCATGGACAGGAGTCGTGGAGCATCATGTCCAGCCCGAGCGTGTTTCACCAATGCCCTGTCATGTGCCCGCGCTCCTGTCTTCAGAGAATGTACTTGCCGTTGTACTAGTAGTACTTAGCAATGGTAGTAAGAGACCACCGCTCATCGCCCAGACGCAAACAAGCACTACACCAAAGAAGACTCAGCCTCAGCCTCAGCCTGCTTGCTTGCTTGCTCTCCTCTCTTACACGTACACACAACAGCTGCTGCATCCGGCACCACCCACCCACTCCCTCCCTCCCTTGCCTTGCTTTGCCTTGCCTTGCACACACGTTTGCAAACGCAATCGTCCCAACCCAACCCAAGCCACCGTCGCACTCGCTACGTACCCTTTCGCCAGCCCGGCCAGAGTCTTTGCGGCCTCGTGACCTGTTCCGTCCATGGATTGTCCTCCGCTGACGATGCTCCCTGCAATATAACGCCTCATAGCTGCGGGTTTGCGCTGCAGGGCTGCACGCTGCATCTAAAGCGTCCACTGAGCCCATCCGCCTCTCCACCTTGTGCGAGCCTTTGTGCTGTGCTGGCACTCTGGCAATGCCTCCAGCGCACCCACCCTCGGACGTGACAAAGAAGATGCTAACCCCGCCCTCCCGCACACTGCACTTCCTTTTCCGTCGCATTTGGTGGTTCGTCTCAAAGAAGACTCGCACCCACACCCATACACACTCACACCGCTTGCTGTCCATTACGACTACTACTACTGCTGCTGCTGCTGCTGCTATCTATGTACCTTACTGCTCACGGCCAATGTGGCACAATAAGTCCCCGGCCGAGCGTCACCACTACTCACTTGCTTCCGTACCCTAACGCGGGCCGGCGAATGTCATTCTGGCGACTTGGATGCGCGACTTTTTGTCCTCTAGTTGGATCAAACTGCCGCCTTCACAGTACACAACCAGGTTTCCCTGCGCCCTTGCAAAGTGTCTTTTCGTATCGTGTCTACGCCAACAGTGTTGCACATTGTCAGCGCTATTCATGGCCTTGCGAGCCAAGTGCTGCGTCTGCTTTTCGTCCCCCAAGATGCGACGGCCTCAGGAGCTCAAGCTGCAAGCGTCGCATCTCCAAAAAGGCAGGCACTTGGCGTCAAGAAGGGGGTAAAAGCATCAAGCTTCCCCAAGACTCATCAAACAAAGCAGTCGCCCATGCAATGTTTACTCGCGGTCCCGGCTGTAATCCATGCCGGGGAATCCGGCCATCGCTCGCGTGCTGCCGATAAACCCCAACTGCTATAATACATACCTCGAGTGTGGAGCAAAAGCCGACCCCGGGTACCCAAAAAATATAGACAGGACGAGGCATACACCTAGCAAGGCCTATAGCAGCTATAACAGCCCCGGCTTGTTGAGCCCAGGGGGAGACGCCCATGAAGTCACTCTAGTCCCATCACCACATGGCGCTCCCTGCGCCCCCCCACCGGCTGTGACGTTTGTCAAGCTGTTCGCTCCATTCATACGCGCGTTGCTGTGCCGCGTGTTATGGTCATGGATGATGCTGTATCGCTCCACAGCCCGCGCAAGACGTTCGTCTCAAGCAACAATGACAATGCAATGCGTCCCGCCTCTCGGCGCCGTTGGATCTGTTGCTCTTGTCATTTGCCGACTCAAACGCATAACGTCTCGGTCCCAATGAGCTTAACACAACATGCAGCCTGCCAGTCCCAAGGTACATAGTCTGGGGACCTCTCCTCAACCGAACAGCATAGCGCGGACGTGCTGGCCTCGCGATCCACTCACGATCCACCGTGCAGAGTCTCGACCTCTCGCCTAGCCGCTGGCCCCCCCGTTATGCGTATTACCGCTCCTTGCACTGCCCAGATGTTCCCGGCCATAACGCGATTCGTTTGTTATTGCTGTTTGATCCTCGCTCTCTCCCTCTCTGTCCGTCTGCTTGCTTGCTTGCCTGCTTGCTTGCTTTGGCTTCTGGCCCTCCTCGTGTCCTGTCCTGGCCACGGCTGGCTTCGGTGCATGCAGCCCAAAGCGTGCGACGTCGTTAGGCGCGCAGCCAAACGCCATGCTCCCCTTTTTTTGTTAGTGGCCACGGCGGGACGAACGACTGGCTCTGATAATGGTGCCAAATTAAGAGCCAGAGAGGATGGGCATGGTGCAGACGTCTTTATTGCGATGCTTCTTCTGGGCCTAGTGCGCGGCTCCATCGCCTTTTTGGTCTGTCCGGTAGGGGGACGCGTTCTAGCGCAGGCGGATGATTGGCTGCCTAGCGGTCGACGTTCTGTGTACCTGCATTGGCAAACTGCGAGGCGCTTCTTGCCCTGCGCCGTCAAAATAACGTCCCTTCCCTCTTGCCTTGATCTCTTTGCCCACCTTTTCCTACGGTCCTGCCCATTGTTCAATCATTTTTTCCCTACGCCGAATCATCGCTTCACTCTTTCAGCGGTATTCGCACTTACGCTCTTTCCTACTTGTGTCTCTCGTTCCCCATCTACTCACCTGCGAAACGCCGGTGCTCTCTTAGGTGCGTATCCGAAACTGTCCGCTCATCATCCGTCAGCGTCTCGCCAAGCATTTCCAGCCAGCCAGATAGCGACGACATCACGACTGCACCAGCAACACTACCACCACCCCTAAAGCCATGGATGCTAACTCCCACCCAGCGACTGCATTCTTTAATCGCAGCTATCGCACACTGAGCACTTTGCACGCCATCGATACGCCTTAACGACCACACAACCTAAACCCAAAACCAAACTAAACCAAATCAAATCACAATGATGAACATCAACCTATTCAAGCGCGACGAGGACGACAGCCTCAGCGACACCCACCTGACGCTCCTCATCACCCTCGTCATGCTGGCCTTGCTCGGCGTAGCAAGCATCACAGGCCTGCTCTTCCTACGGAGCCTCCGTCGTGCAAGGAAAATGGAACAAGCCACCTCAGAACTCCCCGTCTACGAGAAGCGTCAATCAAACATCAACCACTTGACCATCACCGCCATGCCATACAAAGGCCGCGAGTCCGTCATTACCTACTCAGAAAAGCAAACCCTCATGGATAGCCCCACCAGCCCAGTGCCCGAGATCCGCATTACCTTCCCCGATGAGGTTGACGAGTCGGGCAAGCAGCACTCTGGCCGTGTCGTTGTCGTTCGTGTTGGAGACCACAGCGTTGGCCTCGAGCCTCTGCGCGAGGACCTACCAGCCTACCAGCAGGACGCATCAGACCGCTTCGATTCCCTCGACTTGGATCGTATGGGCGGCCTGAAGGAGAAGGACGACAAGTATTACTCATAATCTTGACTCCAACCTTAAACGATAATTACCCGACCAGGCCATCGCCCTCGAACAGGTCTGGCAGCCCGGGCCCTCAAGCCACTTGGCTATGACCGACTTGACTTTGATGACGGCTATACCGCGCTGAATGCCAGCTTCTCTCAACCTTCCTGAAGCATGGCCAGCACGGCGGTGGCACTACACATGTATATTCTCGGAGTTGACTGGCCAATTAGTTGTATACCCCTGCATGATTTGGCCATCTCTTCATCGAGGTTCTGCGCCTCTTATATAACTCTTATTCATTAATGTATGCTATCTTAACTCCTCTCGAGCGACTGCATCGAGCAGCATGAGAGTCAATACAAGCCATTATCGATAAAAAATACATCTGCTGCTGTCCCGTGATGTCCTCGAGATCTGACAAAGCAGCACCAGAGCAATCAACCAATGACCCTCGATTTACGTCAGTGCTCTGAGTCTTCCATTGGCATGTTTCGTGTCTTCTCCGATAATCCTTCTTCAACAAAACATCTGAAAAGCAAGTCAAAGTGTATCAGATCCTCGGCCAGCCTTGTTGGTCGTGCACCTCGATGGCAGGTGCGTATTATTGGTGCGGGCTTGGCATTACGACGATCCACTCTACTAGCATGTCCGCAACAGAGCCTCACTCGCGTAAACTCCGCAACAACTTTCTTCTCATGGATTCTGTCGCTCCTTGAGGCCCATTGAGCCATCTCAACTCCCTTCAGATTTCGATTGGCATTTAGTATTCGCTGATTGGCTTCCTCTCTTCCGTCGCCATGGCGAACCGCGAGGTGTTTACTCCGCTGTCCGAGATCACCGGTCAGAAAAGCACTCCAAAAGGTCAACAGCATGCACCACAAAAGCAGCAGCAACAGCAGCAAGCGGCTCAGCCTCCGCGAACTACGGTCCATGATCCAGACAAGGTGAAAAAGCTTAGTCAGGTACACTTCAAGGCCTCGCACGGTATCCTCGTGGCTTTCTTTTGTTTCATGCTGTAAGTGCAGTTCGGCTCAGCTCCACTGAGGCTTGGAGAGAGCGCGTATTGCGAATATATCTGACGCGCGCTAGTGTACTTCACGTTCTCGGTATATACCTATTCACGAGCGGTTTCCTCCTAACGCGATTGGTTCTCGACCACAAGTCGGAATGTGCGTTGCCTCCTATCGACGCGGCAAACTCGTACACCACAGGCAATCCAGAAAAGGGATGCTGGCACCCCAAAACATTTGACAAGGCGGTTGTGATCATCGTCGATGCGCTCAGATATGATTTTACCGTGCCATTCGAGGCTCAACTCGAACCTACCAATCTAGCTGCCGCTGCTGCGAACCCCTCCGAAGCACCGCCAGTTGCCCCACGCCACTTCCATAATGCGTTTCCTGTCCTGTACAAGACGGCTATGAATCAGCCTGAGAATGCCTTTCTCCTTCCCTTTATTGCGGATCCGCCAACGGCTACGATGCAGAGATTAAAGGGGCTCACAACGGGCACATTACCAACTTTTATCGATGTGGGAAGCAACTTTGCGGGTCAAGCAATTCACGAAGACAACATTGTTGGCCAGCTGAAGAACGCAAGCAAGAGATTGGTGCATTTTGGAGACGACACGTGGCACGCACTTTTCGCCGACTACTTTGAACCAAACCTCACGCGCGCGTACGATTCGTTCAATGTCTGGGATCTGCATACGGTAGACAATGGCGTCACCGAGCACATCTTCCCGCTTCTAAAGGCTGAGAATGCAAGCAAGTGGGATGTCATTTTCGGCCACTACCTGGGCGTAGACCATGCTGGGCATCGTTACGGTCCCGACCACCCCGCTATGACTGCGAAACTGAATGAAATGGACAGTGTCTTTCGTCGCATGATCAATGAGATTGACGATGATACGCTTTTAGTAGTCATGGGTGACCATGGCATGGATGCCAAGGGAGATCACGGAGGAGAGTCGGATGATGAGATCCAGGCTGCTTTGTGGATGTACTCCAAAAAGGGTATCTTTGGACGCAGCGACCCTTCACACGTCACTCCCCCACGCAACGCTCATATCCGGCCGGTCGGCCAGATTGACCTTGTTCCAACTCTTTCGCTCTTGCTAGGTATGCCGATACCATTCAACAACCTTGGCAAGCCGATTGAGGAAGCTTTCATTGGAAAGAAAGGAGACAACTTCGCGAACCTTGCGGCTGTCAACCGCATGACCGCTGCACAGATCCACAAATACCAGCATGAATACGCACAGGCGCGAGGTATTCCTGATAGTGCCAGAGCTACCTCGCTCTCTCTGTGGACGAATGCCAATGACGCATGGAACTCACTAGGAAAATCCAAAGCGAATAGTGCGCAAATGCGCCAAGTCTACGACGCCTTCTCTGCTTACCAACACGACACCCTCAGCCTTTGTCGTGACCTCTGGGCCAGGTTCGACATTCCAAGAATGATAAGTGGTGTCACGATCCTAGCGTCTAGTCTGATCGTTCTCGCGCTCTACGCTAGAATTCTCCACGGAGACCGCACTGAGGTTACACCCGTCTTTTTCACTCGGGGCGCCATTGGCCTGGCCTTGGGGGGTATTGTCGGTGTTGGTATCACCGTCTTCATGCCCGAGGATGCAAGATCGCATGTGGTTGTCTTCTCTTCTGCGCTCTCTGGAATCATTGGCTGCGCATCCACATTCTATGTCCTTAGCTACCGCATGATGCCTCTTATGCCCAACACCATCTGGGGCTGGGCAAGTGTTGTATTCACCTTTGCACTTTCTGCCGGCTTTGCAGCCAACTCATTCACAATCTGGGAAGACGAAATCTTGCTCTACTTCTTGACGACATTTGGCGTTCTTGCACTCATTTCCTCACTCCGTCAGAAGCGCCTTGCAGACCGAACATTGGGCGCCTATCATTCTATTCTCTTCACCGCCCTGCTAAGAGTCGCCAGTTTCTCAAGACTTTGCAGAGAAGAGCAAATGCCTTACTGCAAGTCCACATACTATGCTTCTGCGTTGTCTACTACCTCTGCACCATGGCAGCTTCTTATCCCTGCCACGGTTGCTATTCTCATCCCTACGTTTATCAAAAGCTATTATGAGGGCACAAAGAGCTACCAGCACAACGCAACTCTTTGGATAGGACTGGCATTGCGCTTTGGGCTGATGCTTTCTGCAGCTTATTGGGCTCTAGATGCCGCGGACGATGGCGAGTGGCTACCTGACTGGGTGAACGTCATTCGCATCACGAAGCGCTTCCTGGCACAAATTGTACTGGCAATCAGCATGGCGTTTGGATACTCAATTTACAATTGGTCGAAGCCTCTCCTCAATGTCATCATCGATAAAGACGGGAAGGATGCGAATGGTGCTCCTAAAGAAGCGGTTACTGTTCTCGGGTTCGCAAACGTTGAGGGCTCGCGCTATGCCCTTCTCATTACCATCTGGTATCTTGCTATTGCCCTCCTCCAGAAGCCAATGGGAGCTGGTGCAATTGGCATCTTAGTCTGGCAGCTCTTCTCTCTTTTCGAGATAATGGACACAAACAACTTGCGCCAGTCTCCAATCGGTCCCGTCGTCCTAGGCCTCCTTGGATCTTTCCACTTCTTCAAAACAGGCCATCAAGCCACGCTCTCAAGCATCCAGTGGGAATCGGCCTTTATCCCACTTGCTAAGATTCGCTACCCATGGACACCCATTCTTGTCATTCTTAACACCTTTGGCGCCCAGATTCTGTGCGCAGTCGCCGTCCCCGCCCTTGTTTTATGGAAGGTGAAGCCGCAGAAGAAGGGCTTGCTGAGTGTCGTGGCAAAGGCTGTGGCTACCCATATTCTCTTCTACGCTACAATTAATCTAGCAACGACCATGTGGGCAGGCCATCTTAGGAGACATTTGATGTTGTACCGCATCTTCAACCCGAGATTCATGGTCGGCGCTGCCGTGCTGCTTGTCGTGGATCTTGCCAGCATTGCCATCGCGCTTTGGGGTACGAGGATGAGTATGTTGAGTACAGCGGAGGTATTTGGGTTTGGTGGGTGAGACAGATGTAAGAAACTTGTCTGCCATGTAGTGTTATTTGGATGTGTGTAAGAAAATATGCAGTACAACGAGTAATACATACACGGGTGACTGCGCATCACATTTTACTGTTTGTGGTTATATCGCGATTGAGCGTTTCACGAGTCTTTTCCCCGTGTCAGCATGTCTGGGGAAGATGTCAAAGAGAGAGAAAAATGGCATCTTATCTCCAAGTATCATGCGACGATTTCCAGTCTCATGCTATCTCTTGTTCTCATTCCATCCCCCTGGTACAGCCTGATTTCCGTTCATAGCTCTTTCACACCTCATAAGTTGAAGCAGTTTCACTACTATATGCCTCCCGCTCTTCCTCTGCAAAAAACCAAAGTAACTCCTAGATATTCAAGATCATTTCAGCACTAAACACCAAATTCTCTTTCTCTATTTCGATTCGCATACATCAGTTTATTTCAAGTTTTTTTAGCATCGAAGAAGCTTTTCTTAAATTTCTACTCGTTTGACTAACTGGAACGACTTTCGTAGAGACAAAAGTACTTTTATCTAAGCCACTTTAGATAACCCGTCATCAGCCAATACAACAGCTTATCAAACACCTTCCTCTACCATACTCACCGCCACTATTTTGTTGAAAATCTTTGTGCTGGGCTTGACTAAACTCGACGACTGGTTGTTTGACATCGCTCTCGCCCCGTTTGCAGTCATGTGATTCCCAGCAAATCACGTCGTTTCACTCTCAGTCTCTCACTGAGTGATCGCGCAGGCTGATGCAAACAAAGGTGAAGGCGGCAGCGCTAGCCGCTCCCACTGTTGGCGCTACACTCTACTCGCTATATCAGGGTGCGATTGGAGTCGTTTCTCTCTCTCTCTCTCCCTCCGTACAAAGAGTGCAACGGCTCGATCAGGGCGAAGCTCCTTGTCTTTCTTGTCTGACCGCGACATCCAAATTCCAAACGTAGGTACGGCTTGGTTGATCGGAGTCTGTTTGGTGGTGGCTGGGATTGCGATTCGGGCGGTGAGTATGGTATAAAATGAGCTTGGCGAATCTGGCACTTACTGACTGATAGTCTAGGATCTGAAGTGGTTGTAGTGATTTCGGTCGGTTTCTCTACGAATAGTTACTAGCAACTACTTCACCTGATCGCTACAACTTGATCGACAAGACAAATCAGAGGTTACACAACCCGGCTAGACAACTATCGGGGATAGAATCACGGCATAACATCGATTCGAACAAGACAACTGCGATACAGTAAAGACCGAAGGCCCCGCAGACGATTTGACGAATATGAGTTCTATTGAAGTCTCAGCTATCCTAGATGGCCTCAGAGACCGTTATCTTCCGCGAAAGCCACAAACACGCGTCGGAAAAGAAGATGAACTCAAAGAAATTGAGAAGATATTGACAGCAATTGCAACTTACCCCACAGGTACGTATGATGGCCGTCCTACTCTCTACCCGATTGTCTTATTACTAACACGGATAGGCTTTGCGCTTCAAAATCTAACGGATAGCCTTTGGGATACGCTTCTAGTCTTTTCGTATGATGAGATGAACACTGTTATCCACCGCCTTCAGCGCAGCTTCAAAGTCCATCAGAGCATCCTTGCCGACTTGGTCACTCAGATGTTCGGCTTTGGTATTGACAATGATGACTGCAAGCTCGACCACACACTCGGCAAACAGATCATTCAGCTCTTTCATGATGTTCAGGCGTACACCGAATTGATGAAAGATACCAATAAACTGATTATGTTGACATATAGCATGATGACAGAGACGGAATTTCAAGAGCGCTTGAGCGATCTCATTGGGAATGCCTCGTTTGCAAATGAGCTATTTGTGTTCATCTGCAAACTAGGCTTTCCCAGAGAAGCGTACAGTACTCTTGTCTCAGTTGCCAGCACGCCACATGCTTTTGAGAACGTTACTCTCCGCAACGGATCATTGTCGTCTGCAGGTCACAATCAGCAGCAATCACACAAGCTCAATGAGGTTATAAATGTACAACAACATAGCGACCGAACCTCGTCGTCGCCTCTCCTGGTTAGGCCTATCCTACAAGGTCCTCAGCCGGTGACAGATGCTGTGCCTCAAGTGTGCAAGCCGGTGCCTAGGACTAAGCAGGAAGTCGCTCTACTCATTGAAACCGCTTCATGTGGCAATCTGCTTCCAAAATACAAAAGCGCCTGGTACTCCTTTGGGTTTGTTTGCACGACGAATGAAGAAGACGAGCGACGACTTGCAGGCCTCTACGCTGTCCTCATAGGGGAAACATACACTCCAGAAAGTTTCCATGAGCTCCAAAACGCCCTAGAGACGTGCAATCTAGCAATTCTATTCGATACAAAGGGATATGGAAACTTCCGTGAACTTTCTACCCACTTGGAAACTTTCCTCGTTGCCCCACGCGAACAGCGCCCCACAGTATGGCGTTTGAAGCAGTTCATTCATGACGCCGATAGCACGGATCCACCAGCTTGCCTTCAACGCGACTACGGCTTTAAGTACTGCAAGCAAAGGGACGAAGTTATGTGTCTTAAGTTCATCTACAGCAAGATGCTTGAGAAGATGGAAGTAATGGAGTTACATAGTGCTTGCGTACATGGCAGGCTATACGAGACTGCTATACGCATGGGAGTATCTATTCGTACCAAGGATGAAAGGCTCATGAAGAACGACTATCCTTCGCCTTTTATTGGGTTTGACAACACTTCTGGACTTGAGAATTATCGGAAACCGTTGTTCAAGAAGCAGCAGAAGACGTAGTGGTGGGGTGGTGATATCTCGAACGCCTTTACACAGGGTGATAGCGGTGTCGATGTCGGTCCTCCGATGGACAGTTTGGCTATGAGATATTGGGCATGTGGTTCGGAACTAGGTTTGGGTAAGGCGTTGTGAGAGACTGCACATCACGGAATCTTGCTTTTACACATGTACTGTCTATCTTCATTTACTGACCACACCACTGCTGTTAACGAGCATGAGTATGACCAACTACGATGATATGGAAGAGCGGCCCTTGTTTAGGTGGTGTGATGTATTCTGGTGTAAAGTTGGATGAACAAGGTGAGCCCAAATGGTTGCCTTGCCATGTTCTAGCCCCACGGCTGTTTCTTTTGCTGCTAGTAGTGGCGCCATTCCCGCTTCGTATGGCCTACAGGTGTCATCCACCAGTATCACAAGCACCTTGCTCATCAATGCTACACAGCCACTCAACGCCTTCTTGCTCATTCTGCGCTGTCCATGCAGCCGAGGCAGAATCGATACTGCGTGGTTGATTGGTGTGCGCGCCTGACGTTCGGCTGATGACGGGTCGGCGGGAGGCATCTGCTACGCTGATCCCACGTTTGCGCATTCGCGCAATGGGGTCCCAATGCTTATGAGAGCCGTCTAGGCAATTGCCAATTCCGTCATGAATTTCTTGACCAAGCTGACGCCTCTCATATATGCTGGTTGTCCAAGTCTGCAACTCAGAGCAATCTCGTCCAACGCTACCGCCATCTTTGCGCAATGGAGACCATGCCGTCATGCACAAACTCGCACACCAGCTTGCCCAAGCTGAGCATGAGTAAGCATGTTCAAAGAAGAGATTCGCTTTCATCTTCGAGAACCCGAGATTCTGGCTATAACAGCGACCCGGACCCGCTCTCACCTTTGGAAGTAGCCGTGTTGGAGCAGGGCACGTACGCCTTGTTTGTACATCTTTCAGAGCCCTGGTCACTAACAGCGCAGCAGACTTACTTCTCCCGACGTTTCCACGCGTGCCAAGTATCCTGCTTAACTCTAAGCCCACTGTGTTTCAGTCGCACCTCAATTTCGATACCTTAAAGCTCTTTGGACGGGGAACCGTCTTAGGTGATGATGCAAGAGCTAGTTCGGACCGGGGAATCTCAAGTCACCCCGCAACATCTATTTCGGACCGCAAAATCCCGCGAAGCCTTCCTTGGTCCCCCGAGTTGGAAATTGTCTCTGACCACGGACCTGCGGAGATTCTGCAAACCCAAATAGCTTCTCAAGATGAAGATATAGAGAGACGGGTGAGCGAGAATCTCCCGTCACGCAATCGACCGGAGCAGAGGGCACTATCCATCGTTTCAATATCTTCAACGAGTAGCTGCGACATGTACACAAGCACTGATGTCAGTGACGATGAAGATGAGTATAGAAACGGGCCCTCTATCGCTCAAAAACCTAGGTCTACTCTTAAGGTTATCGACTTGATCATCAGGAAGGTTGAGATTAGTCTACGGCATGCAGCTTACAAGCAGTGTGCGGGAAACAACACCCCAAGCCCTCAATCTGGAACCTCTGCCTCCACAGGACACAGCCGCAAAACATCGTCGAGCTCCGGATCAAAGAGAAAGACACGCCAGGACGGTAGTCCACCGCCTGAAGATGATGATGAGAACAGACCAAATAAGAGGCGGCGAGGGTCGATAACAACCTTGGATGAATCAGATATGGGCGCGCGGTTCGCATGTCCGTTCTACAAGCATGATCCAAATCGATACCGCAATCGGCGTACTTGCCCCGGCCCTGGTTGGACAACTGTCCATAGGATGAAGGAGCATTTATATCGGTCGCACGCTCAGCCAATCTTCTGTCCAATCTGCTACGCAAAATTCAAATCAGACAAGGAGCAACTGAATCATGTGCGCTTGCAGCAATGCGAGAGATCGTCTACCCAACAAATTGACGGCATTGATAGGGAAACAATATGGACGCTGAGAAAACGCACCACTGGACTGAGACTGGAAGAGGATAAGTGGAGAGATGTTTATCATATCCTCTTTCCTGGTGTTCCGACTGCGGACATTCCCAGCCCATGTATGTCACTTTCTTATTCAAACCCCCGCCTACCTTACTGACAAGAAAGTAGTTTATGACTGCGACTCGCCAAGTGAGGACTCACGAAGATTTCGCAGAGACCTGCTCCGTCGTGTGCAAGAAGAGCTGCACTCGGAAGCTGAACAAATGTCCAATCCAGTCGAGCAGCAACTTCTACAGCGTGTCGCTGAAATTATCCATCGTTGCGAGCAGGATCTACTCAACCAGTCTCAACCACCTCACAGTTCTGACTTCAACGTTGATCGGCGTGCTAGTGCTAGCTCTATAGGCAGTTCTTACCAGGTCACACCCGCATCTGCGCCCAGTCCACCGCCATTCCAAAGTGATTCGATACCAGTAGCGCCGGTACTAGGTTCCCATGACCATATTCTTGTCCCGATGACGTTCCAAGACACTGCGCAGTACATACCTGAGCCTATAGTAGACTTTACCCAAATGGTGTATGATGACCAACCGTATGATACTTTTAGTCTGGGCATTGATTGGGATCATGTCTTTTCTCCGGCGCAAAACATGCAGTGTAGGAAGAGCGGCGAGGCTGGTACCACATGTCCAAAGTTCATGTTCACTTGATGGAGAAATATACATTTGTTTTCTTTGCAAGCTCTCGTGCTATGTGTCCATACATGTTATCCACAGCTTGGAGTTATAGCAGCAGTATTGTAATGTACATAGCAGTTGTTTAGGTTACGACGTCATGAGGCACGTGACCTTGATGAAACACGAGTCATGAAATGCGATTTCCGCGCGATTGAGTTGCACAATCTTTCAGTCGCAAACACGATGCGTCTAGCAACGCGCACGTCGCTCGTTGAGTTTCGCTCGATCCTTCTACCGCCAATTCGCATTCCGGTTCGCGCTCTCGGAGCGTTGTATCGCCCACAATGCTCACGGCCGGCTCCTGGTTGCGCTCCTCTGCAATGCCTAACGCAGCGTCGGGGTATGAACCTCTACAAGACGGCCAAATCCAAGACACTGCTGGGACAGCACAAATCCTTGACTTTCTCGCCGTATCAGATAGAGCCTCCAAGTGCATCGTCGCACCGTATCAACCTCTTTGAAACGGATAAGCACCATTCCAAGTATCAACTGATAGCGGAGGATGTGTCATTTCAAGAGGCATACGATAGTTATGTCAAGCCAGGGCACATGATTTACTGCATGAAGGAGTTGAAAAAGGGAATGGCAAAGACCTTTGCGACCGAGGAAAAGGAACATCTGTTGGATGAATACAAGAACTTCTCGTTTGTGGAGGCGAAATCGCACCGGATTCCATTGAACAGTCCCCAGAAAGGACGACAACTTGGAGGACTGAAGAACATTATTTTCAATGAGTCGAGTCCAGTCTCGCATTACCGGCTGTCAATGGACCGGGCCTACCAATTCATCGAGTTGGGCTCACCTGTCGAGTTTCGTATTCGATTACAGGGCAGTGTAGCCAAAGAACAAAGGCTCATGCCCGGCGACCCGACCATCTGGCCATGGATGCATGCTCACTTTCCCCACTTGCGACCGGATTTTATCTTAAAAGAGATGCCCGAAGGAACCACATTTCTCATCAACCCCGTCAGCGACGGGCGGGTTTGCCAGTGGGTCTTGGCCAAACCAACGACTGTATCTAGCACCCAAGACCTGGATAAGCGATTTGAAAAGGTTCAGAAAGGCGTGGTACAATCAATCAGGAAGGGGCAGCAGGAGATGCTGCCACAGCAAATGCGGCTTCAATTGGCTGAGAGTGGAAACGAGAATTACTCACCCAATACGGGTATGCCGAGATCAAAGGCAAAGGCAAAATATGGCAAGGGTGGAAATGTCACATATGGGGCTGAGGAGAAGAAGCATATGGCCAAGGACGCAGAGACGTATAGGTTCCTGCAGACTGATGTAGACAAGAAACAAAGAGCAGAGGACAAGGGGGCAGTGGAAGAGGAGGATGAGGATGAGGACGAGGATGAGTTCAGGCGCAGGCACAGATACAAGAACAGACCGCCGCCGGAGCGCAAACATCCATGGCTAGGACGAGGCAGCAGGCGGTGAAGGGGGCGGGGTCAAATGTGCAGTTCAGTGTATTGTATTGTATAAACAAGGCTGGCGACGTGGTGACTCAATAGATGGATAGAGAGATACGTGTACAACAAGAAAGGGTTTCAGCGATGGCAGGTGTGCTTGGCGCAGTGGTTAGGGCTGACTAGGCTAGGGAGCTCGACCAGGGAAACAGAAACGGCCGGGGCGCATCCCGAGCCACAACCCAGGTTAGGCCCTACCCTGGACTACTCGCACCCAACTAAGTCTCGACGCCCTTGTCTCCCTTTGCGGCCGTGTGCAGTGCTTCAGATGGATGCCCACCACTGACCCCCTACGAGTCTCGTCGTGTCGTGTCGTGTCGTGCCCTGTCGTGTCCTGTGTCAGACAATGCTCCCGCCCTAGACCTCACTCCCCTTACGCGCGCCATCCAGTCGAGCGAGGCCCAATATCCCTAATAACCGCCCCTCCCCGCGACCTCCGTCCTCCGTCCTCCGTTCTCCGTCCCCCGTCGTCATCATCATCATCACCACCACCGCCACCGCCGCCGTGTTCCGTACCTCTGTTGCTGCACACCCAACACGCCGCCTCGAGCCCGCAACCTCGCCCTCGTGCGCCTGAGGCTCAATGAACGCCGCACGTCAGGCGTGCCGCCCAAAGCACCAGGTCCTGGTCCTCAAATGCTACCCCAAGGTCCAGAAGAACAATGCCGACGCCAAGGCCAATTCGAGCGAATTGAGCTACCTGCTCTACTATGCAAGCACACGCCGCAGCAAGCTCCAGAAGGTCGTCGACTTCCTCGACAAGAAGGTCACCAAGGATGTGTGGAAAGTTCGCACTGGCAATGTCCAGGTCACTCTGCAGATTGTCAAGACGGTGATTGAGAAGTGCCCGCGCGACCTCCCCCTCTACGCCAGCTCTGTCCTGCAAATCTTGCGCACCATCCTCAACTCGAACAATCTGACCATGGTTGAGGAGTCGGTCCCGACATTCGAGGCACTATGCGCCCACCAAGACCCCGCCGCCCTCGCTGCCGACCAGGACTACATTAAGAAGTACGAGGAAATTGTCCAGCTATACGCTCAGTTTGCGTCCAAAGATGCCGTCAAGACGGGCAAAGACGCCGTAAGCTGGCCCATCGCCATCCGGCACCGCAAGGTTGGCCTGCAGGCGCTCAAGGCTGTGGCCTCGTCCGAGTCACTGGGGTCGGAGACGGGGCGCCAGCTGGCCGTTATTATACCAGTCATACTCGCAAACATACACGCAGAGACCGGCGCATACCTCAAGCAGCTCGAGATCCGGGAAGCCGCCCAGGGCGAGCACGACAAGGAGACTGCAACACGGCGGCGACAGAGCGTATCCACAGCGCGAACTGACGACGAAGACGGAGACCCAATCGCCGCATCTGGAACAACTGAAGACGCGGACAAACTGGCTGAAGAGGAGGTTGGCGTGCTCGCGCTCCAGGCGCTAAGGAGCATCTTCCAAGGGGTGAATCGCGGTCAGCTCCGGCTCGCGACATCCGCCGTCCTCGATTTCATAAGCACACACGTCAAGAGCCAACTAGAGGTCCCGCCAAGCGAAAGCAGTCATTGGGCAACGACGCTCATGGCCATGATCTGTGTGTGGGTGCCTGTGCAAGACCGATACACGATTCTCGTGGGAGCAGTTGAAGCCTTGGTCCGCAGCCCAATCGTGGAGGAGGATCTCAAGCGACAACTGGTGCTCGCCACTGTCATTGACTATCTTCTTGCCTCGTCCATCAACTTCATCGGCCTTAGTGTTATGGATGTACTGGTAGGCTTTATCTCGCACACTCTATTACTGCTACAGCTCGGTGGGCCAGGATCGAATATCTTGCCGCATCATCAGCAGACGACTTCTATCATGTCGGAAAAAGATGAAAGCAAGAATTCATCCACAAACAACGTGGACGGTGTCGTCATGGAAGTTGTGAAGAAGCCCTCTGGCGCAAGGTTGCAGCTTTTAAACACTGTGCAGAAATGTATGGCAGATCTTGCAACCCACGTGTACTATACAGACCAAATCTCAGACATGGTCGAAGCAATCCTGAGCCGCCTCAAGCCCTCGCGTCTCTCGGCCATTTCTACTACAGCCGAAGCGATACAGAACCCTGAAGGCGCTGTGGAGGCTGTTGCAGACTCAATCAGCATGCAAGAGAAGACTCACGTTGACCGGTTCTTCTCATTTGAGACAGCACGTATCACTGCTCTCGATGCCGTCAAGGCCATCTTGAAGAGGGCGAATGCGCGGAAACCAGACGGTTCTCCAGCCTCGGTATCGCGAAGCAAGGTTGGCGTCAGTGTGTGGGAAGGCTCACAGTGGCTGCTGCGCGACCCTAGTGGCCGAGTCAGAAAGGCGTACGTCGACGCGTTGGTCACCTGGCTGAATACCGAGAAGGACAAGGAAGACCTGAAGATCGTAGACAACTACAGAAGGAAGGAGAAGGACAACGACAAGAATTCGCTGTCCAGACGAGCGGTTTCTAACGCCTCTACGAGGGAAAGGGTATCTAAGCGTGGCAAGGATACCTTTCTGCCTCTGCTCCATCTGGCTGTGTATGAAAACGCGCATCAATTCATTGACTCGGAAGCCGATTACTTGCTTCTACACCTCCTTCTTACCACCTTAGTCAACCGATTAGGCGTCAACGCTGCAAGGAGCGGGTTGCCAATGATCATGCGACTACAAGAGGATATCGCAACTATAGAAGATCCGGGCGCCAAGTTGCGCATAGGAAGTCTGGTGCATGGCTACCTCTGGGCACTCAGTGCGACTTTAGACTTTGAAGTGTCTTCTGTCGGTCGCGCATTGCACAACGAGATTACGCGCAGAAACCAGAAGGGTCTATGGATGAAGAGCATCAATGTCCCACCTATGCCCATCGATTTGATTGAAACGCCGCACCCAACACCGGTTGCAGTACCTCCAGAAATTGTTCAGAACGAGGCTCTCAGGCCCTTTGACAATCTAGAAGCACTTGTTGAGAAGATCTCGGAAAGTTATTCGGCTTCCCTACATTCTCCGCCTACTTCGCCCCCAGGGTCGCCCAGCCGTGGAGGGGCTGCAAATGGCTCGATTCCAGCAATCCACCAACCAGTACAGCCAATGGCTCCTAGGGATTCCCCTGAGTTGTCATTCAAAGTCCGGGAGGATCTCATGTCGCAATGGTCTCGTGACGAATGCCTAGCAAGCCACTCCAAAGACTCAACAACTGCATCCATTTCCGGGTCCAAGTCCGGGACTCACTACACCAAGAATAACTTTCTTGGCGTTAACATTCCACACGGAAATCTTGACAGCAATGCGAGCTCCCCTGCCCCCAGTCCCAGACGAGCGCAGAGCAGACCCCCATCCGCCGCTTATGGTCTGGCAGGCCGTCTCTCCTCACCAAACCGAAGTCGCAGTCCTGGCGGTACACCCAACAGCTCCTCATCTATGCGCTCGACTGTGCGTGTCGACGACCTCAGGCGTGCTCTATCCACCTCGAGCGGCGCGGCGCCCAGGACGAGTTATTCAGTTCGCGCTCCATCACGGCGCCACCGCAAATCCTCTTCTGACCATGCATCTACAACCTCGGAATCGCTTATTAGTGTACATTCGCTTTCCGATGCATCCTTCATCACCACACACCCAGATGGTGACTCTCAGCACCTTCAGAACTCCGACTCCACAGCCACACCCGCTGCGACATCGACACCTCGCCCGCTGACAGCCACATCGACACATTCAAACGGACAATCTCGTGAGCAACCGTACACTTTGGACAACCTCCCTCCAGTACCTCCTATCCCAGAAGACCTCAAGACAAGTACCAATGGTGGGATCCATTCCAGAGACTTTGCTTCGCGGCCTCGCACCACGTCAAACGGCGGCATGGCGAACAAGGCGCGAAGCGTCAAGAGTGGAACCAGCAGGAGCCGGAGTGGAGACAGGAGAAGGAGCAGTGCAGGCAAACACGTCCTTGGCCCTTCTAAACCGGATTTCTTGGGCTTTTTGGATAGCATTGGTGTTGAGGATGCGGATACGGAGGATGGGGATGTTGAGGAGATAGGGGTGCGCAAGGCGCCATACTAAGAGATTAGAAGGCGTTTTGAAGAGACATGGGGATGGGTACGTCGTTTCCTTTGTGCATTTTTCTCTTTTTTTTGTTCTCACTCACGGTGCCACCTACTCGATGCATTCGATGCATCATCTCCGACTCCTCGTCTTTGCTCCGTTTTGTCGCGTACTAGACTTTTTTTCTTCTTCCTCGCCTCCGCTCTTGTCACTTTCGTGTTCTTTGTCACCATCGTTTTTAGTCTTTTCTTTTTGTTCTTGTTAGATATAATTCCACAGTTGCATTAATAGCAAAAAAGCTAAAAAGTAAAGGCGGCAGATTCCAACGCACATCACAAAGTCTTGTGTTTTGAAAGATTTTTTAATCCTCGTCTCTTCTCTTTTTATATCCGCCTCTTTTCCTGTCCATTCGCAAGGAGCGTTGTAGCTCAGTAATAGATAATGGTGGTCGGTTCCCTGTATTACTATTAGTGATAAAATACGGTCATGATTATGAAGTTATCAAGTCACTTTCTCTTCTACATGAAATGCCAGCGATAGGCCGTAGAGTACCTGGGCTCGTTGCTGGAGGCACCTGCAACCAAACTTTGTCACATGATCCTTGATCGTGCAAATATCGATGGCAACCCTTTGTAAAGTAAACATGCGCAAGTTTTCGTAGGAATCAGACACAAGGATACCACGTATGTTTGTTAAAATAATACTAGACTCTGAGCAATTGAGAAAAAGGAGACGAAGATGTTCATTTTTCCCTCCTAGTTCCATGTATAACTCCCTCGGTTCAACCTACTTTATCCTCCCCCCCCCCCCTGTGAATTTCAAAAACGCTTACATACATAGGCAACCCACCCTATAATTTCTCGACATCATCGACTCCTGCACCCCTTGTGGTAGGAAAGCTCCTTCTCCGCCTGCCTCCTCCTGCTTCAACAATCCCACTCGATGTGCTCTGCCCCCTCTCCGCCTCATCACCAAGCCGCAACGCAGCTACGGGCTGTGGCTCAGTGACCGCCTCGGCATGGTTGCCGCCCACGCTCTCCATGGTGAACGGGCTCGCGGTCGGCGCATCCAAGATAGCCAGCTCATCGGAAGTAAGAAAGCGGGGCATGAGCCAGGTGCGCATAGGAATATACAAGAAGATGAAGACGGGGAACCCGATTGCAGCAATGGTCTGGGTAATAGCGAATGTGGCGCCGAAGCCGATGAGTTCGAGGCCGACAAAAGCCCAGATGACCCAGCGGCGCTGGATGCGCAGCAGCGGCTCGGACTTTGGTGTGAGATGGCGGTCGCGGGCGAGGAAGAGCAGTTTGAGCGTTAGGCCATTTGCTTCGAGGGCTTGGATGCCCATTACGAAGAAGAGGCCTGCGAGGACGGCTTGCGGGATGAGGTGGAGGACGATGAGTAAGGGGCCGGTCATGGTGCCTAGGGTGAGGAGGCCTTGAGCGAGGTTCGAGACGCGCTGCTCGACGACGTGGTCGACGACGGTGCGCGTGTGGCCTTTGTTCACCTCGTCGTCGTTATCGCTTTGATCACCAGCGGAGAGTGTGCGTGTCACACAGAGGGATGTCGTGTGGAAGGGGGCCTGTGGGATAAGGCCATTGGGGAAAGGAATGCCGAGGAGGCCAGCGACACCAGTTGTCAGACCGAGGAGAAACAAGTCCCAGTGAAATCCTGCTGGTTTGCGGAGCGGGAATTCCGTTCCCTGTGCAATGAGGCTGGATACGTTGTGGTCGAACCAGAAAAGGATGGTGAGCAGAATGGCAAACGGGATAGCGAGGAACACGTCGCCGACGCTGATATCCCAGAAGTGAATAAACCATCCGCGGTCGGTCGTGGGGAAGAAGGCTTTGGATGTGGGTAGCTTTAGTAGCTCGATGCCTGCCATCTTGCCAATGTGGACGAAGCCCGTGAAGAATACCACGGTCAAAGGGGTACCGTAGTCCTCGATGAACTTCCTTACATGGCGTTGCAGGAGCGACGATTGCCCAATTACACCACACAGGTATGCCACCGCCGTGACTAGAAGCGCAACCATAATGGACAGGTACGCCGAAGCATCGTCAACTTCCCACTGCCTTGTCAGGACCTGGATGCCCTTTTGCAAATAGATAAACGCAACGTAGAAGCCAAAAATATCGCAAGAAAACCGCGTGACATAGCGCAATCCATTGCACGAATTGGTAACAGCCAGAATCCAGTGAAAGATGAGCGACCAAATGCCAATCCACGCCATAAAGGCAAAGTAGTTCGTGCCGCGCGGGACAATGATGTCATACACGGTGTAGTTGAACACAGTAATCGGGCCCGTAACGCCTACAATGACGAGTGGCTGTGCTGCTGCGAGCGAGAAGACGACTGAGCCCAGAACAGAGGCGAGCAGCACTTCGTTGACGCCGAAACTTGTATTCGTCTTTTCAAACATGTCGAGGGAAAAGGCGAGCGCGGGCAGAATGTTGGCAAAGTACATGTATACGGTTGCTGGCACGACCCGATAGTCCCATGCGTCTTTCCAGTCACTCCAGTAAAAGGGTGCTCGTCGACGAACATCCTGGATCATGCCGCTGAACAGGCTTGTCTTCCACCATGCGCTGCTCTTCTTCTTCGCAGAAGGTGATTGTCTTGATGCATTTATTTGTTGTTCTTCGTGATTGACACAATCATCATTCGCCACTCCATTGTCCTTTGGAAAAGGTCCAAGCGATCCTGAAGAACGGTTCGGCGGCGTGGAGTCCTGCATGGTAGTAAGGCTGTGGCTTTGGGTCTCGTGATCCAGGAAGGAAATGGGCTTTTTGGAGGCTGCTATGTCCGGAACGTCGTCATAACAGGTTCAGGCAGCGCTGCGCGAGGTGGCAAGATAGAATTAAAAATAAATAGAGGAAAAAAAATAGGAAGTCAAGGGAGATGAGCCCAAAGCGAAAACGCAATGCGATAAAGCAACTTTCCCGCCATTGCAATGGCGGACGAGCTGGGTTAATAATGGACTGGTGGAAGAACCGTTGATCTCACACTGAGCCCGGCCGTACCCCGGCAATAGGAAGCTAACTGCTTGGGCAGAAAGCGGTGACAAGGCACGCTTAGCTAATAAATGCATCCGGCAGATCTTCGTCAAACTCATACCATGTACGCGGTTAGTAGCACACTCAAACGGCACAAACACTAACAAGATCTAATAACCGTCCGATTCGAGAGCTGCATATGCATAGCTAACATCCCTTGCCAACGTCTGCCATGTCGCTAGAAGCCGTGAAGGTATTCTGGCTGCAACTACTAGTGCTCTGATCTCAATTGCGGGCCACGATTGCTTGCATGCCTAGCCGCACCTGGAAACTGAAAAGAGAAGCACATTGTACGCATGAGCCCATAGTCCCCACCCACTCGTTGCCGACACATTGCCATCATGCCACTCACTCACCAATAGTATTGCACCTGCTGAGTCATTAGTAATTCTCCGATGCAAAGAAATGGGCCTTAAGAGCCGTGGGGTGGTTGCAGGCTTACATTGGGAATGCTTTCAAAGCTGGCCATATTCGCGGACACATCTAAGAGGTCCTGCCAATGTCCTTGCTCTTGAGCATGAGTCACTTCCGTAGCCAACCCTGCATCCTTCGTCTGAATGTGCCATGATCCATCGTACGCTGCTCTTTCAGACGAGCCATCGTACTGTGGCACAGACGCCTGTCCGAACTCCGTTAACATTATGTCTGTTGTGAAATCGGTAGCATGCGGCACTGGTGGACTGCGGTGACCGTCTGTTTTGTGCTTGATCCAGCCTGTCACATTAGCTTGAGCCTCCTGGTCGGCCCGTTCTCGAACAGTAGAAATCTCAGCAGCTTTTTCAGTCTCATGTATCTCCTCGGGGTCCAGAGAACCACGAATCATAGCTTCACGGACGCAGATTCCCAGCATAGCTTGTAGCGTGTATACCGCGTCATTGCCAGCATTATGAAGTTTCCATCCAACAATGTCGAAGTCGCTCAAAATATTGCCCAACTTGGTGGGCTGCTGATCGCGGTGCCAGATGCGGTACATGGTGGCCGTGTCCATGATTTCGAGAATATTTTCCTCTTTTACCGGGTCATAACCGAGCTGCTGTAAATAACGGATATCACCCAGTGTATCATGCCCAAGGAGAACGATGTTGCGTTTCTCATTCGACTGCTTAGTCGGCGTGTCTGCATCCCCAAATGGTGCTCGAAAGCAGGCCGCGACATGCTTTGCGGCTTCACTGAGCGAGACAAACGTGGATTCGCCAAACAGGAAGCCATCAGGGTGTCCTATGACGTAGAGATGGTTTACTAGGTGCTTATACTCTTTAATGCGAAAGTGGCGAGCTCGAATCATCTCTCTCCATGCTTTTCCGTTTTCGCCTGGTGCGATGTCTTGCAGGTCTCGTGTATCCAGTGTAGCGACTCCGACTTCGGTGATCTTGTGATGGGCTCCCTCGTACGATTCTACATCGACACAAACGAAGACCACAGACTGTTCGAACATGAATGGGGCAGCCATAGATGGATCGACAGCTGGAGACGACCTAAGTTCTGCCGATGGATATATTTGCTCAGCTTCACGGAGCCCCAGATGCCTCTGCGCGCGCTTGAACTGGCCCGCCATTATTTTGTTCTTGGCTAAACGGTCTTGCTGTCTCTTAGCCTTCGCCTTTCCCTTCGGTTTCTGCACCTGTGCAATATCCTCCATCAACTGGTTGAAAATCTCCAACTCGGCAGGCTGGAGGATTGGATGAGGGGGTTCTCCAACGGCTCGATGTGTCTCATTTGGCGCGATTGCAATCATATCTTCGATATCCTGGCGCGATTGTGAGCGCCCAAGATATCTTGGTAAGCACCGAGGATGGTCAGGGAAGCGTGTCACCAGGCCTTCCTCTCGTTGGTGATTGGTAATGCGGAGGTCAAGTTGAAGTTGATGATTGATCTCGGTAAGTAGAGTCTGCACCTGGTTCTCGTGGACGAGGAGGGTAGGTTTGGAAGAGTCGGTGGGCCAGACGTAGTAACTGTTACAGTCAGCCAGTAGCTTTCGCCTGTGACAAGAAGATGAATGTTGAAAGTTGAAGTTGAGGGGTCTTTCTGCTGCATGCGAAGCCCAGTCATCGGTATGGCCTGACAATTATGTTGGATGTTGAAAGGCGGCTAGGTGGCATATTCCCAGCCTTCGCCAGGGTTCATTGTTTATGGCATATGTTTTGACAGTGGACGTGCGAATGGAGGTGATGGTTGTCAAATCAACTTACATATCCCAAACTCGATTCCAGAATTTTCCTTGGTCAAAAAAAGCAGAGGCAATGGTTTGCATGTGGTTCTTGTTGCAGTACGTGTAGGGATACTTGGCCAATGCTTGGATCGGTGTGAAATGGTGATGTGCTGAAGCTAACTCTCCACGCTGAAGATTGGTTGTGGGATGATCTTTAATACCAGGAGGAGGAGGAGATGGAGGGCCTGAGATGTGCATCGAGTCAAGACTCTGGTTGATCGAGCTTGAGGCGTCGTTCATCCAGAGGGATTGGCGGTCTGAGTTTTCCGTAAAGGAAGCTGTCGGACCAGAGGCCGATGTCGCCAGAGACGAAACCGTTTTTTCCAACGTATCTTGTTGGGGGAGGGGTATGTCTAGCAGGTGAGATTCGAGAGGCACACCACCAGAGGAGTCAGAGTCGTCAAGCATACGATCTGGGGAGATACGGCGGTCAGGGAGGGCATCGACGTCAGACTTGATCAGCCCGCGCAGCTTCTCGAGGCGCTCCGAAGACACCATTGCGTGATGTATGAGCAGAAAAGGGTTGTTTGCGAAGGAAGGTGGGGGGAGAGTTGGGTTTGGGTGTTGCGCTTAGGCAGATAGATGGGGCAAGAGCAAACGGCAAACGACAATCATTAACCAACAGGCTCACAAACTAGTTCAGGGACGGAAGAGCAGAGTGCTTCTTATTTTTGCTACGAAGAAAGTCGAAAAAAGACAAAAAAAGACAAAAGGCAGCGCGAAACAAGATGGCTCATGTCAGCCTAGGAAGAACACTAGCTGTAGAGAAAGACAGGGGCTCAGAAAGTCAAGAGAAGGAACGAGTAGGTAGGTACGAGAAAGTAGGCAGGATGCGACGACACGGTTCTTGTGGAGATGTTCATGTATCGAGGAAACATGGTAAGACGTATGGTAAGAGAAGGATGCCATGATGGTTCATAGCGATATTGCATATATGGTCTTGTACCAGAGTGGAGTCTGTGATGCGGCGCGTGTGGTGAGGTACGTCGGTGAGTATAGAGGTGACGGGGCAGAAGGCGGTGTCTGTGATGGATTGCTGGCAGCAAGCCTCTTTTGAATGCAGTCTGGCCCAAGACATGTAGTAGATAGCTAAACGTACAGACACATGTATATCTGGAAACACAGACACACACAGCAACATGCACACTGCCGACAGCCGGGACGAGGGAGTGGGGTGGAGCAGGCCCCATGGGTTCGGTGGTGAGAGGGATCTGCGTGGGCGGCGGCCAAAGCGGGCTAGACACACACACCCCCAGTGCCTCCAACGTTTGCGACCAGGTCAGCAACGGCAGCCCATCACGACCCGCGCATATCGCTCCTCGCATCCCGCATCCCGCACCCTCACAATCGCGCTGCTTCTCACCAACGACTTAGTTGACGCGTGGCTGCAAGGTCTGACGCGTGCGTCGCCAGCCTCCCACCACTCGACCTCTCCGCCATGCGCCATGTCTGAAGCCGACGATGCGCCTGACATGGCCCAACCCGCTCCGAATCCAGACGCCCAGACAACCGTCAATGACTTTCTCGACTACACCGAATTCTTCCCCTCGGACCTGGTGCGCTCGCTGACCCTCATCGCCGACCTCGACTCGACCTACGCCGACGCCGTCCAGCAGGTCCACGAGCTGACGGTCCAGTATGGTCGCCTGCCCACGCTGCCTGAGCAAGACCGCCCTGATCCCGTACTGCTGCGCAAGCAAATCGCCCACCACCTCCAAAAGGCCATCAACCAGCGCGAGTTCGCCTACACCGAGGCCTCACGCCTGTACGAGGTCACCGTCCGCCATTGCCAGCGCTCGTCGGTTATCAAGCGGAAGCTCCAGGCCCAACCTCAGCCTCCCTCGCGCGATCCTACGCCCCCGCCAGTCTCTCCCAGCGCACTCCGCCCCGTGTACCGAAACTACGAACGCCCTGCCCATCTGCGCCTCAACTTTGACGCCGGCCGCCATGGCGCGACCAACTCGCGCCAGCGCCATCGCCACCGCAAGACCACTGCTGCTCGAGGCCGCGGTCGAGCCCGGGATGCTTCGGACTCTTCGGGCGACTCGGACGGCGCATCAGCTATCCATGTTGCATCCCCTCGAAGGCGCAAACAAGACAGGGACAGGCATTCGAGGCCAGCCGGCGGCCGAGCGCGTGCTGCGGGTGTGCTAGGCACAAACGTACACAGCTCCATAGCCGGAATATCTACCAGCAATGCCCTCGCCCAGCTTGCTCCTCCACCAGCTGACGCGAAGCCGGGTAGCAAGTGGGCGCCGTGGAAGAAGCTGACCGAGTACGAAATGGCCGTCTTGCGCAAGCAAATGAAGAAGAACGCCGTGTGGACGCCCAGCCAGACCATGATGATTCGCGAACTCGAGAAAAAGCACCGCACAGAGGCTGACTATGAAAGGGAAAAGGCTCGGTGTGAGGCCACAGGCGAACCCTTTCTTGATGAGGAGCCTGAAACATTGCAACAGATCATGACTGCCTCCGGTCTGGGAACCCTCTCTTCGCATGCTCCACAACCGGCCAACCTACCCGCGTCCACCGAGCCTGTCGAAGAGGAAGCGAAAGATGAGACTGGTCCCGTAAGCATCCGCCTCAAGCCTATAACGTCTGAGGATGGAAAGAGACTCGATCGCACGTCACAACGCCAAAAAGCCATGCAGGATGCTCAAGAGCTCATCGGTGCGTCCGAAAAGATCAAAGAGGCTGCCGACGGGCTCAAAGAATTAAACTTTAACTCTACTGTCACCTCACCTACAAGCCAGAAAAGAAAGTCAATAACCAGACTTGCCACCAAACGCAAACGTGACGCATCTCCACCCCTTGCCACGGATGGCTCTACTGAAGTCATGCGAGAAGCATCTGTAGGCACTGAAGACAGCGCAGCAAAACCACCAGAGTCAAAGCGCGCACGGCTACAGCTCATCGCCCCGGCACCACATACCACTTCCTCACCGATACCGACTCCTGGCTCTACTATTTCCACGCCGCGAGATCTCTCCATCTCTGCTGCTCATTCTCCGCTGGCGAACGCTCCTGTACCACTTGTAGAATCTGCCAATGCTACAATCGATGGAAATACTGTACAGGCGCCACCTACAACAGCCGGCCCCAGTACCCCAAAAGCTGACAGAGCTGCACTACGAGAGCTAAGTCCTGAGCTGAGTCCCGAATTGACGCCTCTGGGGACATCGCCAGCGCTATCTGAAAGGTCTCTAGCTATGCCAGAAGCGTCGCCGTCCCCAGTACCAGCACTCACGCAAGTTCCAGATCACGAATCTGTCCCTGCGCCAGCTCCTGCTCTGGCCGCCACAACAGCAGCTTCGACTAGGTCTCGTCGCGAGTCGCTTGTACCAAAAGCACATACCCCGCCCGAGGCTCCTCAGCTTCTGAGGACTTCAAAGACGCCTACACCAGTACCGGAGCCTGCTCCAGACACTGCTGCGCCCCCAACCTTGCGTCCTCGTTCCGCCCGCGGACATCTGCCCGCGCCCAAAGCCCAGAGCGAAGAACCAAAACCAAATGAACAAGGTAGGATCACTCGCGAAACTCGTCGTCATAGTGTCTTTAGCCAACCTGCATCCTCTCTTACAGTAAACCCCTCGCTTCCTGCACCTACCCGCACTAGCTCGCGAAGAAAACCACCCCCAAAAGGGGAAGTCACTGCTGCTGAAAATGGCCAGAAGACCGTCACCAATGTCAAGCGCGCCCAAGGCAGCAAAAACAAAAGAAAAAGGAAGACGGAAGAGGAGGTGGAAGTGGCAGACGACATTGATCCAGATGAGCCAAAGTACTGTATCTGTGACGATGTCAGCTATGGAGCCATGATATCGTGCGATAATAATGTAGGCTTACCTTTGCAGAGCCGCAGCATCTCAGCTAACGACCAGTAGTGTGACAGGGAATGGTTCCATCTTCCTTGTATGAATATGACCGAAGATGATATACCTTCCCGCCGTGCAAAATGGTACTGTCCCGACTGCCGCGCAGCCCTCAACACAGATGCCTATGGCAACCCACTCATACCACCCCCATTGCCGGGACGCCGTGGCAATCGGTAAGTTCTCCTCTTCTCCTGAGTTGGGTTCGTATTAATTTTTCGAGAGGATGGAGTACTTAAGGATATCTAGGTCTGTATAAGTACATGCGTAGTAAGAGTAGCCTAAGTCAGGTCTATAGTTACTATGGTTTTAGAAATTACATATTTAGTTCATTAGATACCCTTATTTCTCTTCTTCATGTTTCAGTACTCTGGAAGTCATTCTAGAAACGAAGTAACTCTCGAACCAACTTTTCACGCTTCCTACTATGCCTAGATCAAAGTTAAGTTTAATTTTCTTTTTGTAGAAGTTTAACAAAGCTAGATTTACTCAAGTTAGGATATTAAATATTAGGTATTATACACTATGAACTAATTCAACAGCTAGACAACCTCTTCACATATACAAATCTCGAGGTATGATATTCACATCCCTAATCACAGTCTTTACTACGTCCGCAGCTGCAGACAGTGCTATTACAACCAACACTGGTGATATCTGTTACACTACCTTGGTAACAACGTTTTTGTAAATATAGTGGTAACGCACAAGCTTACTATGTAAATAACTAATATGTTACTCAAAGAAGGGGCAAAGCGTAAATTATATACATGCAAGTCTAAGCTACTATTGTTAGAACGTTGAAACGACAAATAAAGGTCTTCCATTAGCGACTGTATCGCTGGGTTGGGTTAACCCTTTTTGTATGGTATCCTTTTCAATGTGAGCATCCAGACAGATATCAATCTCCAACTTCATAGCCTCAAGGATAGCTAGTTTCTGTCCGGCCCTTACGACATCTCCGTCCTTCACAAGAACTTTCCCGATGTTGGTGTCCACAAGAGGCTCAACGATGTGGGTGTTGGGATCTAATGGTGTTAGTGTCAGCTATGTACGCTGGAAATTGAGGGTGACAGATCCATGCTGATCTAGAAAAAACTTACCGTCAGTGTTTATGTTGTCCTGGGATACATTGGTCGCAGCTTTGCTTTCCAGCCACTCTTGAAAGATTTTCTTCTCCTTGATCGCCATCTCGTCTTGAATTTTCCCGCAGACTTCTAGCAGTGAAGATGTTTCTTCAGCGGTACTCTTCAATAGTGCATTTTGTTCTGCCAAGTCGAACGTGCTCTCTTCCATCTTGTATTTGTAGCTTCCTGATTTGAATCTCATCATCTCAGCATCGTATTCCTCTTCGGTGACTTCGTAAAACCCAACGGTATCCATGTTCTGGAAAATCCAAGGCTGTTATTTGGTGAAGCCACATTTAGTTCCAAAGATGCCTACACTGGGCATTGTCATTCCTATAGGTATATAACCTCCTGGCGCATCCATCGGATAGATTGACATTGCGCATCCAACCCAGGCCAGACAACCTTGAGGGGTGTAAGTTCGACTGGGATTCATCTTTGGGCATCTCAGGCGTTGCCGGGGATCTGCGGCGAGTAATACTGACAAAGCCATGAAGAACCCGACTCCAAAAACGCCACCGCGGATGTTGAGAGCCTGCTCTTTCGATTGATCTGGCGACATACCATTGATCTCAGCCAGGTACTTGAATGGGTCTGGAAGATATGTGGTAGTGGGGCGCTGGTTAGTCATGTATCGGTCCATGGCATCTTTGAGCTTTCTGTGCGTGAAAGTAACAGGAAGCATGAAATGGCGATTGGGAACTGACATTGATCGCATGTCTCCGAAAGTGCGTTCGATCGAAACCAGCCCCTCGACAAGTTCTGCCTGGCTCAGCTTCAAGCCGTCATAGAAGAGTGCTAAGGAGTTTACACAGCTTACAGTTTGTACAATGGCACCTCCAGCGCTCTCATTCAAGGATATGCGACCCGTAGCACCTTCGAAGAATCTCTGCAAAGCCAGCGTTCTGACTTTTAGGTTCAGATCGAAGTTGCCCTCGCCATAATCTACGAGCAGGTAGTTATCAGCCCCAACACGATAAGTGATTCGTGGTATGTTTCCCTGGGGTTCAATGCTGAGGGCTACGTCACCCCCGGTGCCAACACAGGGTGTGCCAAGGAAGGACTCGAATTTGGGGGCAATTTGCCATGATCAAGACGCTACTGCCGAAGTGAGTCCTGCAAGAAACTCGTCGTTCCTTCTTCTGCCCTCCAAGGCGTCTGAGAGATTGACCTTCCTGAAGCGAACATTATCTCCGGCACGTAACTGGCCGACCTTCCAGAAATCGCTTCTGCTGACAGTGACCCTGCAAATGAAGCCTCCAAAATCAGGACAATCAACTGGAAATATAAAAGGTCCATCTCCTGTTCAATTCACTCCACCGAGAGGATAACCGTACTCAATGACGTTGCTTGGATGGCTTCCACCTTCACCCCCGCTTGAGCGTGCATACTTTGGACGAGCTCCAATCAATCGGATACCTCCTCGGGATGCATTGTGACCGATGGTCCAAGACGATGAAAAAAAGGTCTCAATATCTTCGGGGGTCATGAAACCTGTCTCATATGGCCCTGGCATGACCTGGACAGTCCAGTTGGAGGTATATGTAGGTCTGAGATTCTCGGACACAGTAACATCTTCAACAATGGATTCAGCAGTCGCTTCGGTGATGGAGAGAAGATCACCAGCTCGTAGTGGCCTACCGTCATAGCCGCCGATGTTGACCATGGGGCACGTAGCTTTACTACCGCGACACTCCGCGATACCGGGGAAGCCACCAGCAGCGGCAAGGTAGACTCTACAATTACCTGTTAGCTTTCCAATAGTGACTCTCTGGCCAGCGGAGACATGAATTCCAGACCATTGAGCCATAGGTTTTCTGTCAAGAAGGCTGGTCACCGGTGGTCCACACAATGCCATTGAGACGTCACACAGGAAATGAAGTTTAGGCCCGATCAAAGTAACCCCAAGCACCTCTTTAGCTGTATCGTTACCGACCAATATGTTGGCAGCACGAAAAGCGATATCATCCATGGGGCCTGCATGTCCAAAGCCATGTCCAACTCTTGGCCGCCCAGGGTAGTCCTGGATCAGAGTATACGATCCGCCTGAGATGACGTCGATAGCCTTGGGCACGTAGTTGAACGACTCTAAGGATTTTGTGGTAGTATTTCCGCATCTAAACCTTGAATCGCGCACAATGTTGACTATGAAGTCGAGATTGATTGGTGGTCCGCAAAGCGAGCTCTTCGCAAGAACAGCATCGATACCATCGCGTGCGTCATCTCTTGTCACTTCGTGGAACATGACTTTCGCTAGTAGTGGATCATAATCGACGCTGATTACGATACCGTCGTACCAGCTCTTTTAATAATGAATGATAGCAGCAATCACTGAAAAACACAGATCGCAAGAAATCGGTCAAAATGCTTTATTGGAAAGCAGAGAGGTCCGGGTTCTCGTTGCCTCTCTTCATGCGAGGCTGAGCCGCTGCCCGCGGCCTGTTGGTGCATGGGCCTAAACCCGTGTAACGACTTGCCCCGCGAAGCACCTGTCCGACTGTCTTAGCTCTCCCATCCACACAACATCTTCTCAAGACTGTTATCCATCCGTAGTGTCTGGTCGCATGGCGCTTCTCTTTTTCCGATGTGTCGCTTTTTCTCGCCACGAATGTTTGGCGGGAATCGATGCGCGCACGACTGCAGAGCCTGTAGGCTTGAACAACAGGGCTGGTGGTGGGATCTTTGTTCAGGCGACAGAGCACCATGCTCATGGGAATAACATCATGAAATATACGACACTTCTTTATGTTGACGATAATAGCTACTTTCGCTGATAGAGCTAAAGTGAGGTCGAAGGCCTTGAGACCGAGTTGCAAGCTAGGACTACCTACGGTAGCCCCTTTTGTAGTAATAAGCGCTGTAGGGAAGAAGGTGAAGCCGGCGCTTACATCCTGTTCTCAGTGGGTTCACGAGTATCTAAAAACATGGTTCACCATGTTCCGGGCGCGTACATGAAACGACAGTAGCTTAGCTAATCTAGTCATCCTAGCTTGCTACTATGTACTTATACCTACATATGCACGTTTTGTTATTTCGGTTGGCGAAGGACACTCGACAAGTCGCCAGGTGCAAAGCTGAGGCACACTTGCAACCGGGAAGACATCCTACGAACACGTCACTTTTATGCTCGTCTGCTCCATGCAATCTACATTAAAGTACGAGGTTCCTTCGATCCCCGCTGAAAATTCTTACATTTCATGATGTTACCCCGTTTCCTTCTAGTCATATCACAGATCGCCAGTGCAGCCGGCTACTGTTACAGCCGTAACGGCACTACCCTTCTCAACGCAGCTTTCCAACCATGTAAAAGCACGACAAAATATTCCGCATGCTGCATGACGAACCATAGCGGCGCCGGAGACATCGGCATAGCAGACGACGTGTGCATGGAAAATGGTCTTTGTCAGAACTATGCGGTTTACAACGGGAACAACGAGGGTGAGCAAGTTTGGTCAAGACAGGGATGTACAGACCCGCTGTGGAATAGTCCGTACTGTCTTGGAGACGTCTGTAACAAACCAGAGGTATACTGCCCAATACTACGCGTCAGGGTGTCGCTGATGGGATAATATAGTACGCCGACAAATGGGGCAATGTGGGCGTTCACAACTGTGGAGGGAAAAACTGGTGCTGTGGGGAGAAGACCTGTTGCGGTGATAAGGGCAAAATTTTCGAACTCGCAGCAACTGTAGGTCCGACATCGATTCTTTCCTCAGCGACACCATTGTCGTCAGTGACACCCGCTTCCTCAGCCACAACATCGTCAGCCTCAATGCCTACCTCATCCTCTACCTCCAAGGGAGACATCTCCTCAGGTGGTCTTAGTACAGGCGTACAAGCTGGTATTGGAGTTGGTGTAGCAATCTTTGGAATTGTGGTGGCTGCGATCGCATGGTTGATATCTAGGTCGATAAGGTCCAGCGGAGGAAAAGACAGCCCTTCGGACGGAAGCACTCTGCACACGGATGTGTCACAGGCCGAAAAGCAACCGCTACATGTCCATGCACATGAGCTGCGGTCGACTCATGGATATGGAGAGTTGGGCCATCGTGAAAATGCAGAACTAGCGGCAATCAACCTCCCTCAGGAGTTAGAGGCCAGAAGGCAAAATGTCCACCAAGGTATACGAGTGCCGGAAGCTCAATCAGAGACCTATCACTTTGTATCTTAACTCTACACATAGACATCCCTAAGAGTATGATAATGATTGCAATTTTTATGACATAGATTTAGGTTACTATTAACTAGTTTTTTCTCACTTAGTACTTCATAGTAAGTGTGATGGGCTGCGCCCGTGAGTGAAACACGTGATTGTATCACGTGTCCGCTTCACACCGCTTAGTCAAGAAACCTTATTCGTACGAAGAAACCTAAGGTAAGAGTATAAAGCAAGAGACGTCGTACGATAGCTTTACCTTCTTTATCTTTCTTCCTCTATAATATAGGTTAATGCACACTCGTTTAAAGGCCTTTTCGTTCTTAATATAAGAAGAAAGACTACTATCTCTATCTCTTCTCTATATACGAATAAAGAATTAAGAACAACGTATTTCACTACTAAGCGGCCCACCCTACCAAGCGGCCCACTCTTATACTATAACACTCGTTTATAACGATATTCCGCAACACTATTATAATTTTTTCTATTAAGTAGATTGAGATATTATTCTTTAGATACGTTACTAACTTCTATATTCTCTAATTCTACTTAGTATATATAAGAGTTATATCTAATTTAGCTATAACGCCTATAGCCCCGTTTATTGCGCACTCTCTTCGCAGGCGTTATACTCTTATTATAGCTACTACTCTTCGCCTTAGCGATCTAATTAGCTATCTAGTTAACTATCTAGAATCTCTCTAGCTATATATAGCACTATATATAAGTTTTTTACTTTAGTACTGTATTAATTAAAGCTTTAAGTTAATTAAGCTTCTTATATATAAGTGTTATATCATAAGCTATCTACTAAGGTATCTTACTTAACTACTATATCTACTTCTTAAGAGAAGTATAGAAGACTATTACTAAATTTATATATAGTTTTAAACAAGCGTAGTCTATATCTCTATTTCGCGCGCGTTACGCAGCGTTTTTAGCTCTTATATAGTAGATTTATCCGCTAGTAGATTTAGTGTATATAGTTTAATATTAAGCTATAATAAAATTAGATAATAATTATATAGAGTAAGTTTAGTACTTTAAAACTCTGAATAGATATTTTCTAGCATAATAGCCTTATAATAGATCTTTTGAAAAGCTAGTAGAAAGATTTATTTACTAATATAGTAAATATAATTAACGTATTCCACTATAAAGAGTGCTACTCTATTAAGTTTACTACTTTTTCTTAGTATCGCGAACTTTACGTATAAAAACTTAAACTACTCTATACTAGCTATAGACGCTTTATACTACTTACTTATATCTAAAGAAGAATCTTCTTCTATATCTTTTTAATACATATAAGAGTTATAGCCTATTCTTCTATAGATTCTATTACGCTATTAACTTAGTAGAGCTCTTTCTTAACTACTCTTACTATATACCTTCTTTACTACTATATAACTAGTAGAAGTACTTTTAGCTACCTATAATACTCCTATACTAAAGTCTAATATTCTACTTATCTAGATCTACTTTCTTTTACGCTCTTAGCGCTTTATTACCTCTACTAATTACTCTTTAAGCTCTTATACGTAGGTCTCTATTAGTATATTCTAATATAATATCTTCTAAGCTTATTTAATAAGCTTTAAGAAGCTTTTTTTTAAAGTAGTTAGTAATTATATAAAAGAGTATTTTATAAGCTTTAATTATAACCTAAATTTATATAAATTAATTAGTATTCTTAATATCTAGAGAACTTATAGCTAAGCTTCTTAAAATAGAGTATAAAGGCGTACGTTAAGATAATTTATAAAACTCTACGCGTTAATAGAGACTAGCTATACTATCTTAAAAGCCATTTTATAGTTATCAGACGTAAATATATTATTCAATAGGTCTTAAAAGACTAGAAAAAAGTATTTTTAATTAATAAACTAGATAAAATAACGTGCTAAGTCTTATACGCGTTAGAAGTTCTTTAACTTAAGAGGCGAAAAGTAGATAACGTTAAGTAGCTAGAGTATATATAAGAAATAAGTAAGTATATAGAGAGTAAGAATATTTTATATAAGGTAGTAATTCTTAAGTTCTTAGTTAAGGTAGCTCATAAAGCTATTAAGAATTAGTAGCTTATATAACTCTCCCTAACGCGTCTTTATATAGTGGGGTGATAAAAAAAAGTCTAAAACTAAAAAGTTATTATTTTCAAACGTTTATAACTTAATAACTAGAAACGCTATTTGTTACACGGGGTAAGGGTCTATACTTCTCTATCCTGGTCCGCACTAAGGCAGGTGAGTATTACGTTAGTGTTCCGTGAGGCTTGTCTGGCGATGCAGTGGAGTTGGCGTGCTTAAGGAGGGTTTAATAAGACTAATCTATTTGATAGACTAACTTGTGACAATCTTGTTAAGTAAAGATACTAGTAAGAAAGTACAATTTGAGTTGACCACAACGAGAGTAAATAATGAAATCCATCCATCCTTATATCCTTATTGCTTCTTGTCCTGTCCTCCCGACATCCCATCTTGGCGGGAGGTTTGGGAGGACGTTGGCTTCCCTTTATACGGTGGCCTCCCAGAGGCCATGCCTTAGCGGGATGCCAAGTCACGTGATCGACGCCCCGCGTTGATCATTACCTTCTGACGTGGACGTCCTTAGGCCTTCAGCTATCTCGTCATTTGTTAAGGAGAGAGTCTTTCTTATTACTTATAACATTACCTCCCCTCTTAGGGCTATCGTCTCGATACCCTAGAATATTGTTTTCCCATGCTGCGTGTTGAGACGCCGGCTTGCATATAAGGTCAGAGCCCGCCCACTCGTTGTAGCCGTCTCTGCCTCGTAGCCTTCCTAACCATGCCCAAGGTCCAGTCTTCCTGTCGCGTTCGTCCTGAGAACTTAACTCAACAGCGCCAGGCTCGTGCTGACCGTATTCGATTACAGGGGAACGAAATGACCTTTTATTGTAAACGTTGTAAAGAGAAGGGCCTTTGTTGTTTCGTAGATACCGCCACGGGGCGTTATGCTGGTTGTATTTCTATGAAAGCTGAATATAGCTTGTTCGTGACTGAGGAGGAGTGGGAAAAGGTGGAAGCAGACAAGCGTCAAAAACGGTTGGCTCTTCTGCGGGCTAAGGCTGAAGTTGCGCGTCTTCGTCTAGAGGTTGCTAAGACTGAGGCCCTTGAGCGGTCGTACGCCGATCGTGATCATGCCATCTTGAGTCTACAGGATCGTGCGAAAGAGCAGGCCGAGGGGAGCTTAGCCCCTGGCGGTACGGGCCTTCCTGTTGTCGAACCACCGCTATCTAAGTTATCGACTGATCTGGGCTGGTTACAGGCTAATTTCTTCAATCCTTCTTTTAATTACTTCTTCCTTTTCGAGGGGCTTCCCCTCGCTTCTCCAGGTGCTTCCGGTGGTATTCACGTACCAGTGACTTGCAGTTCGTTAGGTTTCCTTCAGGTTCCTAAGTGTTATAGCTTTTGGGCCATCCTTGCCACTTAACTAAGTACTTCCACTAACTACCGATTTTTCGCAGGTCCTTGATTTCCTCGACCTTATACTTATCGTCTTCGAGCTCTATATCCGTTGCTAGCTCGGCATCTAGAGGTGCTGGTTCTAGGAGTTTCCTGTGAAAGACAGGGTGGATTCGCATGCCTTATAGGAGTTTCAACTTATAGTTTACTTTTTCTATTTCCTCTAGGATTTCGAATAGTCCTATTTAGAGGTTGTCTAATTTTCTGCATGGTCGTTTAGTTTTCAGGTTTTGTCTTAACAGGAAAACTTTGTCCCCCTTCTTAAAGATTAGTCCCTTAATCCTTAGTTTATTCGCTGCTTTAGATGTCGTGAGGTTTTATTAAGCTATATTCTTACTTAATTCTTCGTGCAATTCTCGCATGAGCTTCGCCTTATCGTCTGCTCCTACCGCGATACTTTCGATGTTCTTCGGATCTCGGTGAGCGGTCGGCTTATATCCGTAGTTCGCGTAGTGCGGCGAATGCTTTATCGTTGCTGATTTTATACTATTATAGGCTAATTGTGCTGTTAGTAGTAACTCTACCTAGTTGTCCTGTAATTTGTTAGCGTACATCTGTAGGTACTATTCTAATGTCTGGTTCGTGCGTTCCGTCTGGCCGTCTATTTCTGGGTGAAAGCTTGTCGAAAGCTTCTTCTTAACACCTAACTTTACTAGGAATGTGCTCCAGTATTTAGACGTAAACAGTTTATCACGATCGGTGATAAACTCTTTAGGTATTCTATGCTCTAACACTAATGCTTTAGTGACTTCGTACGCATATTTATCTGCTGTAATAGTCTCTTCCGTGGGCATAAACTTTGCTGCCTTAGTTAATTGGTCCATAATTACTAGTATTGTGTCGCAAAATCGAGCTGATCCTGGTTCTAACGATTTCGGGAGCTTCACTATGAAGTCTATTATTACACTTGTCCATAGTCTAGATAGTGGCTGTAAGGGTTGTAATAGGCCGTAGGGCTTATGTCTCTTAGGCTTGTTCTGGTGACATGCCAAACAGTTACCTAGTGCTTTCTGCACCTTCGCTCGCAAGCGTGGTATCGCAAACACCTTAGCTAGTTGTCTAACTATTTCTTCGATCTCTGCGTGTCCGTATTCCTGGGACTTATATAGTTCCTGTATGAGACTTGATCTTATGCGTGGAGGTATATATGTTCGATTCTTCGAAATTATATCTCGGTACTCTCGTTCATCGTTCAACAGTTCGTCGGAGCCTGCTTCGTCGGGCTCGAACTGCCAGCTGGCTGCTCGCTGCTGCCATTGCTGTTGTAGCGTTTCTACCTGCTCGGCCACCTTAGCTACCTTAGCTAGTTCCGGCTGGTTGTACTTCAGACTGCTATTGGGCATTGTCTTGAGTAAGGCGTCATATAGTTCTTTATGACCCTCTTCGCGCAAATCAGATCTTCTACTTAAAGCGTCTGCTGCTCCGTTGAGTGTTCCTGCGCGGTGTGTGATCTTGAAGTCGAACTGGGCTAGCATCTCTGCCCATCGCACTTGTCGTTAGTTAAGTTTTTTCGTTGTCATGAAACTCGTTAAGTTCTAGTGATTGGTAAAAACCTCGATCTGTTTAGGGAGTTCTAGTAGGTACACTTCCTATTGTTTAAAGGCATCGACTACTCTAAGTAGTTCCTTATTGTGAACATCGTAGTTAAGTTCTGCTCTAGAGAACTTCCGTGAATGGTAGAACACTGGTCTCTATTTTCCATCTGGGCACTGCTGTGACAATACAGCTCCGAGTGCATAGTCGGACGCGTCGGTCTCGACTCTGGTGGGTCGTTGAGGGCTGTACATCTCGAGTACTGGCGCCTCCAGGAATATCTGCTTGATTCGATCGAAAGCCTCTTGATGTTCCTGTTCCCATTTGAAACCTATTTCCTTTTTCGTCACTTCCGTAAGGGGTGCTGTAATCTTCGAGTAATCTCTGATGAACTTTCGATAATAATTCGCAAATCCTAAAAAGGACTGAATATTCTTAACTATTTTAGGTTTTGGCTATTCCTGTACAGTCTGTATCTTCTTTGGGTTCATTTTCACTCCTTTAGTTGATATGATAAATCCGAGGAATTCCGTTTTCTGTGTGTAGAATTTACATTTTCCTGGTTGAAGATATAGCTTGTATTCCTTAAGCTTTCGTAAAACCTTCTTAACATGCTCGACATGTTCTTCGCGTGTGCCGCTGGAGTACACTAGTACGTCGTCTAGATACGCGGTGATAAAGATTCTAAGGTACTCGTGGAGAGCGTTGTTAATGACTAATTAAAAGGTTGCCGGCGCATTCGTTAATCCGAATGGTATAACCGTGTACTTAAAGAGTCCGTACTTCGTTTTGAACGCTGTTATCCATTCGTGACCTTCTTTGATCCTAATTTGGTAAAATCCTTTCTAAACATCGAACTTCGTAAACTACTTAGCTCCCTGAAGTTAATCTATAAGCTCTATAATAAGTAGTAAGGGATATTGGTTCTTCTGAGTTACGCTGTTTAACCTTCTGAAGTTGACACATAGTCGCTACTTCCCGTTAGGTTTCTTTATAAATAAGATGGGTGAGGCTATCAGGCCTAATCCTGGTCGGATAAATCCCTTCTTTAAGTTCTTCTAAATGTAATCCCGCAGCTTAGCGTCGTGCTCGGGCGCTATAGGGTATATTAGTCCTGGGCTCAACTTAGCTCCTTTATTAAGGATGATCTCGTGATCCTAATCCTGATGGTCTGCTAGGTCCGTTGCCTTATTTTCTTCGAACAGTTCTCTAAACTCGTCCGTTTGGTATTCTGTTGGAATCGCTAACTGTGGTACCGATCCTTCCTTCGTGGTCGCGATCTGCCGTATCTAAATGACTTCTACTCTCTGAGGGTTCTTCGCATAGATTCTCGCGATCTTATGCGGTGAGATCATGCCGAATCTCCTGTCCTGGGTTGCGCGCTGATTCGTCGGGCGTGTCTCGTGTCTTACTCCAGCAACCTTGTGCACAGGCTCTCGGCTAAGTACTGTCTTCTTTTGCCAATTGATGGCAGGGTTGTGCTTTAACAACTAATCGTAGCTAATTATCATCTTAGTCTCTCTAAGATCCATAATACTAATCTTTTCTCGGCTTTCTTGACCGGCCAGGCGTAACGTTACTGCCTCGGTCTCAAGTTGGATCCAGCCGTTCCCGTATGTCGTGGGACTATCGTCGGCTAATACCACTCGTATCGGTACCTTCTTGTTCCGATAGGGTATGTTGTTTCCTTCCACTACTCGTAGAGATATGACGGTTCGTGCTGCCCCACTATCTATGAGCGCTAACACCTTATGTCCGTCTATAAGTACTGTGGCTTTCAATTGCAACTCTTTTGCTCCCACTTCCTGTACTTGCTTAAGGGTTGTTTTAGGACTGCCTTTGCTAGCGTAACCCTATCCCTAGTAGTATCCTAGTTTTTTGACTGCCTGCTTCCCTTCTTCTTTGGGAAGTAGCCTTCGCCTGCCTTGGCGGAATAGTGTATCGTACACTGATCGTTGTAGTAGAAGCTCTAATGGATATTCTTATGAGGTATCTTCTATTGCGTGGCCCTCTTCCTTAGTTCTGGCTTCTTACTTTTATAAATTAGGTAATCCTTTGCCTCATAAATGTTCGCTGGTAGGATGCTATGGTAGTGGTTGTCTACTTGTTGAGTATTCTCGAACTATTGTTGGTGCATAGCACAACCTTTCCTGTAATGCGTCCATAGGAGTTTACTGTGCTCTACTGGCGTTTCCTGTACTTAGGCCCTATGCATTCTGCAGTTCTTTGCTATGCATTCTTCAGCGGAAATCGTGCTATAGTAGTAGTCGTCTACCCTTTTAGCTTTCCGTCGCTGTTCCTTGTGGAATTAGCAATTAATTGTGCACTTGATCCAGCACAACTCTTCGTGAGCTTTCTTTTCTCCGGGCTGGTGCATGTGGCAATACTGTACGCGATACTCGTTATGCTATAAATTGGTATGGCAGCAATCGTCCTCGTTGTCTCTGGTTTCTTCTCGCTTCCTTAAGTGGTAATCACACTGTCTTGGGCAGTCGACCTAACATAGGCGCTCGTGTTGCTCCATCCGTTCCTTGAACGTCTGAGGTGTCTCCTCGTTATTAGGTTTCTTGAACCTGGGTTGTTCCTGGGCAGCCCTGTAGGCAATCTTATCTGCTCGGGGTCCCGAGATTGTGACTCTTCTATTGCAGTCGCAATCGTTGGCTTGGTGCGTAGTTAGTCCGCAGATCCAGCACTGTTGATTTCTTAGGCGGCGTAGTACTTCGGCCCCTTCAATCTCTTGTACTAGCTCAAACGCCTCGTCGGTGGCTTGTCTTGCTTCTTCGTACAGGTCTAGGTCGCTGAGGGTTTTATCTGGCTCCTTAGTTGGGTATGGTGTTGGTATCCGAATCATCCCAATCTTAACCGCTTCTTGTCTGACTTCGTTTTTTGGGCAATCTCTGCGGAAGTGTCCTACTTCACCGCATCGGAGACATGCCTTGCTGTTATAACGCTTCTTGCGTTCTTCCGTGGAGAGTCCGTTATTATACTGTCCTTAGGGTTTCTTATTCTTGTCCTTGGACTTGTCTTGTACCTTACTGGTTATAATGGTGTCGCCATCTTTGTCGAACCGGCTACGCTGCCTTCTTGTGTTGGCTACCGTGGGTTGAAATTGTTTCTTTTGTTAGTTTCTTTCCTATAGCCTATTATTAATGCGTGTCGCTAACTTGATTAGCGTATAAAGCGTGTTTAGTTTGTCGTGATGTATAAGTCCGTCTTTGACATTTTCCTTCAGACCTGCTTCGAACACCGTTCGAAGTGCTGCGTCGTCCTAGTTGATTCGTGCCTGTAGCTGCTTGAACTCGGCTGTGTACGCTGATACTGAACTGGTCTGCTTTAGGCGAGTTATCGCTTTCTCTGTCTGGTTCTGAGCATCTACTTCCCCAAAGATGTGTCCTATCTCTTTCTTGAACTCGGCCTAACTAGTGAATAAGGCGCGCGTCTCGTCCTTCGTTCCTCTGTTCTCGATATTTGATAGATAGTCCTCTACGTATGGCTGCATCCAGCTTGACGCTCGTCCTTTCATGTGGGTGCTGGCCATGAGGATCTTTTTCTGGTCGTTAGGTACTTCGTTGAATTCGCAGTATAAGTCGATGTTGGTAAGGAATGTCCGCAACTCGGTGCGACTTCCATCGTACTTTTCTGGGGTTGCCATTTTTGGCTTCTTAAGTGGTTTCTCGTTCGGGGTGGCCATTAGTTGGCTTATGAGTTGGTTAATCATATTCTGCAACTCAGCCATCTGCCTTGCTTGGGCTTAGCTCTCGCGTCTAAGATTGACGAGTTCGTACTCGGGGCTCCCTGCCGCCGGCTCGTTATTTCCCCCTTGGGTACTACTAGTTATGTTGATATCTCCCTTAGGCGCCGGGCCTAGGATGTTAACGTATTCGCTTGAATTTCCTGACATGGTTTAATCTTATTCAGACGCTGTTGGTTAATCCTTCTTCCACTGGATCCGTGGGTGGTCAAAGTGTTACACGGGGTAAGGGTCTATACTTCTCTATCCTAGTCCGCACTAAGGCAGGTGAGTATTACGTTAGTGTTCCGTGAGGCTTGTCTAGCGATGCAGTGGAGTTGGCGTGCTTAAGGAGGGTTTGACAAGACTAATCTATTTGATAGACTAACTTGTGACAATCTTGTTAAGTAAAGATACTAGTAAGAAAGTACAATTTGAGTTGACCACAACGAGAGTAAATAATGAAATCCATCCATCCTTATATCCTCATTGCTTCTTATCCTGTCCTCCCGACATCCCATCTTGGCGGGAGGTTTGGGAGGACGTTGGCTTCCCTTTATGCGGTGGCCTCCCGGAGGCCATGCCTTGGCGGGATGCCAAGTCACGTGATCGACGCCCCGCGTTGATCATTACCTTCTGACGTGGACGTCCTTAGGCCTTCAGCCATCTCGTCATTTGTCAAGGAGAGAGTCTTTCTTGTTACTTGTAACACTATTCTAAAACAGGTTAATGCATTTCAAACCTAAGATGTTCTAGTTTAGTATAGGGTAATCACGTAACTATAAGTCAGCCTTTTTACTAGCTAAAATAAACTAAAACTATAAGAGAAAAAAAAGTAAGAACTAAAAATTGTAATTTCTTGTTATTTAATAGATATTATACTATAGTTTCTATTTATAGTATACTAGACTATATAAGCTTTATATATAAATTACTTAGTTTAATATAGCTAATATATATCTTTTAATAGTTAAAGGTTCATAATCTAACAGGTTAATTACGTAAGCTATATCTTGCTATTTTATTAGTAATATTATAGTATAAATTAATATCTTCTTACTATATATCTTTTTTTCAACTATTTCTCTACTATAGATTCGAAATTTTATAAATTTACAGATAAATTTAACTATTTTTTATAAGCTGAAATCTTAATCTAATATATTATAAATTATTTCTAAAAAAAACCTATAATCTATCTATAACGCTATTTAATAGATTGAAAAGAAAAAAAATATATAAATTTACTTAGAATAAGCTAAAAGAGGAAGAAATCTAGAGCTTTCTATAAGAGCTAAAATAGTTATTAATAGAGATACAACTAGAAGCCCTAAGAAGATAAATTCTAGATTATTAAAAGAAAATAATCTAGATATCTTAACTAGAATGCTTTAATAGGTTTTAAAGGCTGAAGATTAGACGTTAAATAAAATATTTAAAAAACAAATTTTAAACGCTAAAAAAGCCTAAGAGCGACTAGTATAGGCTAAGAAGAGCCTAGCTTAGATTACGAATTAAGATTTTACTAAGACTATCTATTTTAATGAGTGTAGAATATAACAGGGACAAAGATCTTATTTAGAATACTTAGGAGAATAAGGAAATTAATAGCTTAGTAGAAATCTAGTTTCTACTTGAAATATTAATAAGTTATTTTAGTTTCTTATTATTCTATTATCTAATTTAAATACATTGTATTATTATAATTATATTATTTAAAATAGCTAAGGAGATAACTATTTAAATTTAGGTAATAATCTAGAAAGATAGAAGATTAGATATAGTCGTTATAAAAACGCCTATATCTAATACTTCTTACTCTCGTTACTACTATATCTAGAAATATCTATTACCTTATATTAAACTAGTAATTAAAAACTGTAAAGTAATTTGTTAATTTTAATAACTTTTTTCTTATAATTATTTTTTACTTTAATATAATAACTAGCTTATAATATAACGTATTCTATCACTGAGAGGGCTATATTACTGAGAGAGCTACTTTTTCTTAGTATCGCGAACTTTATGTTTAAAAACTTGAATTACTTTATACTAGCTATAGATGCCTTGTACGACTTACTTATATCTAAAGAAGAATCTTCTTCTTTATCTTTTTAGCACGTATGAGAGTTATAGCCTATCTTCCTGTAGGTTCTATAGCGCCGTTGACTTAGTAGAGTTCTCTCTTAACTACTCTTACTACGTGCCTTCTTTAATGTTATATAACTAGCAGAACTACTTTTAGCTACTTATAATACCTCTATACTAAAGTCTAGTATTCTACCTATCTAAATTCGCTTTCTTTTACGCCCCTAGCGCTTTATTATCTCTACTAGTTGCTCTTTAAGCTCTTGTACGCGGGCCTTTATTAGTATATTTTTATATAATATCTTCTTAGCTCTTTTAATTAGCTTTAAGAAGCTTTCTTATATAGTAGTTAGTAATTATATAAAGGAGTCTTTTATAAGGTTTAACTATAACTTAAATGTATACGAATTACTTAGTATTTTTAACTACTAGAGTATTTCTAGCTAAGTAGCTTATAGTAGAGTACGAAGGCGTATATTAAGGCGATTAATAACTCTCTACGCGTTAATAGGGACTAGCTCTGCTACTTTAAAGGCCTTCTTATAGTTATTAGATATAAATACGTCGCAAAACGCGTTTTAAAAGGCTAAAAGGAAGCGTTCTTTATTAATATACTAGATATAGTAGCGTGCTAAGTCTTATACGCGTTAGGAGTACTTCTACTTAAGAGGCGAAAAGTAGATAACGTTAAGTAGCTAAAGTATATATAATAAATAAGTAGGTATATAAAGAGTAAGAATCTTTTATATAAGATAGTAATTCTTAAATTCTTAGTTTAGGTAGCTCTTATAGCTATTAAGAATTAGCAATCTATATAACCTTACTTAACGCGTCTTTATATAGTTATTAAAGTGCTTTAACTACGCTAGACTAAGCTTATTATTCATCTAGCTATTCTCTAATACTAAGAGCTTCTAATCGTATAGTATATCTGCTTCTTTATACTAAGTAGAGATATAGACGCGTTCTTTATAGATAATAAATAGTAGAGTAGTATATTCTATAGCGTAGATGCTCTAAATAATAGTAATCTACTCGCGATTACTTAGCTAAATAAGAGTAGGTCTCGTACGACGTTCTAAACCTATAACTACCTTTATTAAACTAATTATACCTATCTAAAAGCTAGTTTCGTTAAAGTTATAGATATTATCTAAATAAACTCTATACTTCTTAATTATCTTTTATATAAGCTTAAACTATGCGTTAATAACCTCTAGATTCTCCTACTAAACTCTCTATTAATTCTTTATTTAATTAAAGGCTATTTTAAGCTCGTTCGTACGCGTTATAAACCGCTCTGCCTAGTATTTACTTAAAGGCTAACTATCTTATTCGCGCAGTAGTTTCTCTACTATATCTACTACTTTATATAAATAGAGAGTAAATCCTTATAAGTTTAGGTTAAGAATATACTATATAATAGTTTTCTCTTTAGAATTAGTTAGTTTCTAGCAATTTAGCTGCGTTATAAGTTGAAAGATAATTCCTTAAAGCTGCTTAGAGAGCTACTAATATTAGACGTTGTAGGCTGCTATAGCGCGTTAAATACTCTTAAACTAACCCGTACGATAGGCTTAAATAGTAAGAGTAAGTCTGCCTTCTTGCTAAGTTAATATCACGTTCTATTGTTAAGGCAGTGTCTTTTATACGTGAAGTTCGCGATGCTAAGCAAAAGTAGCCCTCTTAGTAATGTGGCCCTCTCGGTGATAGAATACGTTATATATATATATTTAACTAACTAATTATTATATAGGCTAGATTTTTTAATAAAATAACGCTACTATTTATACTACTAAAAACGTTAAAAGCTAGTTTAAACAAAACTATATTAAAGTTATAGCCTATCTAGTCTATAGTCTTAATTTGAATTTAGTTAAAATTATATAGAGTTCACTTAAAAATAGGCTTAATTTAATACCTACTACCTCTTAACATGTTAAGATTAATAGTAAAAGTATTAATACTTTTATTACTATAATGAAAGAAGAGTAGTAAGCTATTTTATAAAATAATATAGATAACTATATTGTATCTATACTAAGACGTTATAGAGCTATAGTAGAAGCTAAGAGGTAGTATACTAAGTACTATCTTTAATATATTATCTTTTATCTTCTTTAATTACTTATAAATTACTGTTATTTATATCTCTTTTTACACTTTATATAGATATATTATATTTCTATATAATATAGCTTGTATTCAGAGTAATATATATATATAATAAAATTTTAGAAAACTTAAAAATTTAAGCGTGAAAAAAATACAAATATCTATAGATTTCTAAAGCACGAGGTTTTAAGTGTATTTTAGCTAATAAAAAGGCTAACTTATAGTCACATAACTACCCTATACTAAACTAGGACATCTTAGGTTTAAAATGCATTAGCTCGTGTTAGGATAGCTTTTCTAGTTATTAAGTTTTAAACGTTTGAAAATAATAACTTTTTAGATTTTGATTTTCTTTTGTTACCCCACTGTATACTTATCAAAGTACTTTAACTACGCTAGACTAAGTAAGTTATTAATCTAACTACTCTATAATACTAAGAGCTTCTAATTATATAGTATATCTACTTCTTTATACTATCTAGAGATATAGACGCGCTCTTTATATATACAGTGGGGTGACCAAAAAAAAAAGAACTCTAAAAAGTTGTGGTTTTTAAACATCCATTACACAATGGGTATTAGCGCTAAACTAATAAAAAATAAATCGTTGAATAGGAAATTTCTTGGCGTTTAAGATAGCGGTCTATTACTACTAATTAGCTAGCACTAGGAAGGCCATTTATCCTCTTAAACCTAGATTAAAACAATCTTCTAACTTTAGCTCCAAATTTCGCGCTATAAATTTTAACTTTTCTTCTATCTATTAATATTAATAGATATATATAATATCCTAGTTTTATATATATAGTACTAGAAAG